AATTGGCAAGTTTTTATACTCACATTTTTTTAATGAGTTCATTTCAGTTTCCCGTTGATCATTACAGAAGTAAATAGGATTTCTTAACTTTGAAAACATATTGTACAATGAATTTCCCTTGTATCTTTTGATTTTCATCAATTTTATTTCTTCAGTTCATTTAAACTCTCCGAATCCTTCATATCGAATGTCGACTGGTGTATTCAACATATCAACAGCCTCGAGGTTTATTAAATGTTTGTTTAGTAAATTCATGATTAGCTGATATCTTTTTTGTGTTGGGCGAAATATAATAAAATGAAGTTCCACCAGTAGATCCAAATACATCTATTAAAGCTCCAAAATTGAGTTAAAAGGTTAAAAAACCAATATCGATCAGGTGTCAATCGATCAGTGTCAAAATCAGTTGTCAATATCGTCCCTTTTCTGTTTTAAAACTTTATCGAGTGGCAGTTACACCACTCTGATGGGATTAATATTGACATCAGCTCCTTTGCAAACCAATTTTAAAACTAAACGTAACAATTTTTTAACAGCAACATAAAGGGCAGTTTGACCATTATTATTTTAAGCATTTGATCGGCTCCTTTACTGATAAGCAGATCAACTGCGTTGATTTTTTTTCTAAATTGACTACAACTATTAGTGGAGTATCACCTTTAAATTTCCTGTCAATGTCTAGTTTTCAATCCAGAACTAGATTTAAAACTTGAAATAATCCAAAGTTAATACAATAAATAGTAAACCAAAGGCATAGCTAAAAAGTCTATCATGTTCTTCAGTAAAAAGTTTAAATGGAGTGACACCTTTGAAATCTTTTATATCCGAGTCAGATATGTCTCTCAAAATCCAATTAAACAAGGGCCAGTTGTACTATGCAGCCAAATAAAGAGCAGTCTTTCCATCTGCAATTTGTATCTTCATTAGTTTTTCAAACTCAATTACATCGTTTTTTACACCTCAGGTACACAGGTTTTTACACCTTAAACACCTCAGGTATTTAACTGTACCTTTCCTGGGCACATAGTGAATGACAGTTTCTCTTCTGTCGTCTTGCGCTGTTATGTCAACATCAATTAATAAGAGCCAATTAATATAGTGTTCAAACAATTTTGACTTTCAAGTTTTTCCAACACGTAATGCATGAGTGGTTGTTGTCTGAAGTTGGTGGTGGCCACAGAACCTTCATGATGAAGATATTTCAAGACTTCTAACGACCCACAGACTACTGAATAGTGCATGGGAGTGTTCCCAAGTGTGTCTCTTGCTTCTGATTCTGCCCCCAACTGTACCAGTTTGGCAACAACGGAAAGAACTTTTTTAGAAACTACTAGATGTAAAGGCGATTTTCCTTCTTTGTTCTTTCTATTTATATTGGCTCTGAGACCCAATAGTTCATCAATCGCAGAGACACATCCCTCTTGCACTGCAAAGTGTAAGGCTGTCTGGCCTTGACTGTTAGGTAAGTCAATGATCGCTCCTTTATGGATAAGTCCTTCTAATGCTTTACTACTGTTTTTCATAATGGCGATGCGTAAGGGACAGTTACAATTTAAGTCTTGAACGCTAATAAATAATAGTTATCATTTCTATGCAACATACAGGCCTTATTGGTGATTTATTATTGTAAAACTGTTCACAATTAATGTTAATTCAATATCATAAAAATCATTATTTAGTAGACAAAGATATTTGTGTCATAACGTGAAATATCTCTGATTCTGTAGTTATCATATTTTCCAGGGATTGCTTGTACAGAGTGAATTTTCATGAGGGTCTAGTTTTAATTTTCCTTCCGTCGGTCCTAAACGGAGAGTGTCAGTGATAGTGTTGATGGCTAACTCATATGACAAATCGTCTTCCAAAGGATCTGGCTGAGATACGGGATTTCTAGAGAGGGCATCCGCCACTTTATTTAATGCACCTTTCCTATACTGGACTTCAAAATTGTGTTGTTGTAGCTCTAATATCCATCTGCCCAAACGTCCGATGGTTCTCAAAGTTTCATTAGCCACTTCAAAGCCTGGTAACAATCTTGAAATGGTATCCTTCCAAGTATGGCCAGAATTTCCTAACTGCCTGAACTACAGCAAGGCACTCCTTTTCGGTCAATTCAAAATCTGGGCACACCAGTGTTGGTGAAGTTATCAAGCTGTTCATGAGAGCGCTAAATGCATTTTCTTGTTGTGTAGTCCAATACCAGGTTACATTCTTCTTCAGTAATTTTGTCAGAGGGGCAGATATCTTGGGGAAATTTGGTACGAATCTTCTGTACCAGGATGCCATCCCAAGAAATGCACGTAGTTGTACTGTTTTGGGCCTAGGAAAGTCAACAATTGCTCTAATAATCAGCTGAGGTATAGAAAACATAGCAAATTCACATTAACCCTTTGAGTTCCAAAGATTATTTATTTATTTATTCATCCTTCGTTTAATGACGTTTTCTCATCTACTTATGGACACAGTCTTGGAAGGATGGATGGATAGAAAGTGGCAAAATTTGTTGGGTGATTTAAAGTGCAACTTACAATGAATTGACCCGTCCCGTCTACCAACACGGACCTCAGCCGTTTATGGTGGAACACTTATATCAAGATCTATTACACACAGGTTAACTCCTCATGAACTACACACAAAACCAAGATTCAAACCCTCGATACAGTAATATTTCTTGCCGATATGCCTCAAGCAACTTGGTTATTGATTAGAACTAACGGTTTTGGTACTGACAACAATTAATGGTTAACCTAAAGCCCAGATTTAATTGTTCTGAACTCGACAGACAGGTTTCGGCACGTCAGGTAAAGATTGAAACCAATCTCATTGAGTTATTCCCATAGGTAGTAAAGTGGAAGTCAATAGAATAGGTTAGTTTTGCGTCCAAAAATCAACCTTTAGAACTCAAAGAGTTAATATTGTACCAGAAAAAAGCATTGCTTATCTAGCTTCAGGCTTGCGGTTTGATTGTGATGCGCTAGGTGGAGAGATTGAGCCCCTCTCCACCTACGTTATGGGGGGGGGGGGGATTTTTCTCTACCAACACCTGTTGGAATCAGGCCTGTTTTGTTTTCTAGTTTTGGAGGAAGATTGGCAAGCTTTAATCAATACCTTTAGATCATGGTTACGTAGATAGGTCAATATCATCCTCTCCAATTCATTAGATAATTTATAACGTTAGAAAAGTATCTTGACAGTCTGAAAAAGCACTGAGCATCCTTGAAAAGAGTGAAATGCTCCTTTGCTACCGAGTACACCTGATACAACAGAGGACCATAAATTGGCAAGTTTTTATACTCACATTTTTTTAACGAGTTCATTTTGGTTTCCAGTTGATAGATGTAAAGAGGGTTTTCTTAACTTTGAAAATATATCGTACAATGAATTTCCCCTTTATCTTTTAGATTTTCATCAATTTTAATTCTTCAAGACACCTCTTGTTAAACTCTACGAATCCTTCATATCGAATGTCAACTGGTGTATTCAACATATCAACAGCCTTAAGCTTTATCAAATGTTTGTTTAGTAAATTCATGATTACCTGCTATCTTTTTTGTGTTGGGTGAAATATAATCCAATGAAGTTCTACCAGAAGATCCAAATACATCTATTAAAGCTCCAAAATTGAGTAAACACAATAAAAACCAATACCGATCAGGTGTCAATTGATCAGTGTCAAAATAAGGTGTCTATATCGACCCTTTTCTGTTTTAAAAATTTATCGAGTGGCAATTACACCACTCTGATGGGATTAATATTGACATCAGCTCCTTTGCAAATCAATTTTAAAACCAAACGTAACAATTTTTTAACAGCAACATGAAGGGCAGATTGACCTTTATTATTTTGAGCATTAAGATCGGCGCCTTTAATGATAAGCAGATCAACTGCATTGATTTTTTCTAAATTGACTGCAACTATTATTGCCTTTAAATTTCCTGTCAATGTCTAGTTTTCAATCCAGAACCAGATTTAAAATCTGAAATAATCCAAAGTTAATATAATAGTAAACCATAGGCATAGCTAAATAGTCTATCATGTTATTCAGTGAAAAGTTTAAATGGAGTGACACCTTTGAAATCTTATATATCCGAGTCAGATATGTCTCTGAAAATCCAATTAAACAAGGGCCAGTTTTACTATGCAGCCAAAAGAAGAGCAGTCTTTCCATCTGCAATTTGTATCTTCATTAGTTTTTCAAACTTAATTACATCGTTTTTTAAACACCTCAGGTATTTAACTGTGCCTTTCCTGGGCACATAGTGAATTACAGTTTCTCTTCTGTCGTCTTGCGCTGTTATGTCAACATCAATTAATAAGAGCCAATTAATATAGTGTTCAAACAATTTTGACTTTCAAGTTTTTCCAACACGAAATGCATGAGAGGTTGTTGTCTGAAGTTGGTGGTGGCCACAGAACCTCCATGATGAAGATATTTCAAGACTTCTAACGACCCACAGACTACTGAATAGTGCATGGGAGTGTTCCCAAGGGTGTCTCTTGTTTCTAATTCTGCCCCAAACTGTACCAGTTTGGCAACAACGGAAAGAACTTTTTTAGAAACTACTAGATGTAAAGGCGATTTTCCTTCTTTGTTCTTTCTATTTATATTGGCTCTAAGACCCAATGGTTCATCAATCACAGAGACGCATCCCTCTTGCACTGCAAAGTGTAAGGCTGTCTGGCCTTGACTGTTAGGTAAGTCAATGATCGCTCCTTTATGGATAAGTTCTTCGAATGTCGACTGGTGTATTCAACATATCAACAGCCTTAAGGTTTATTAAATGTTTGTTTAGTAAATTCATGATTAGCTGATATCTTTTTTGTGTTGGGCGAAATATAATAAAATGAAGTTCCACCAGTAGATCCAAATACATCTATTTAAGCTCCAAAATTGAGTTAAAAGGTTAAAAAACCAATATCGATCAGGTGTCAATCGATCAGTGTCAAAATCAGGTGTCAATATCGTCCCTTTTCTGTTTTAAAACTTTATCGAGTGGTAATTACACCACTCTGATGGGATTAATATTGACATCAGCTCCTTTGCAAACCAATTTTAAAACCAAACGTAACAATTTTTTAACAGCAACATGAAGGGCAGTTTGACCTTTATTATTTTGAGCATTAAGATCGGCTCCTTTAATGATAAGCAGATCAACTGCATTGATTTTTTCTAAATTGACTGCAACTATTATTGCCTTTAAATTTCCTGTCGATGTCTAGTTTTCAATCCAGAACCAGATTTAAAATCTGAAATAATCCAAAGTTAATATAATAGTAAACCAAAGGCATAGCTAAATAGTCTATCATGTTATTCAGTGAAAAGTTTAAATGGAGTGACACTTTTGAAATCTTATATATCGGAGTCAGATATGTCTCTCAAAATCCAATTAAACAAGGGCCAGTTTTACTATGCAGCCAAATGAAGAGCAGTCTTTCCATCTGCAATTTGTATCTTCATTAGTTTTCAAACTCAATTACATGGTTTTTTTTAACACCTCAGGTATTTAACTGTGCCTTTCCTGGGCACATAGTGAATGACAGTTTCTCTTCTGTCGTCTTGCGCTGTTATGTCAACATCAATCAATAAGAGCCAATTAATATAGTGTTCAAACAATTTTGACTTTCAAGTTTTTCCAACACGAAATGCATGAGAGGTTGTTGTCTGAAGTTGGTGGTGGCCACAGAACCTTCATGATGAAGATATTTCAAGACTTCTAACGACCCACAGACTACTGAATAGTGCATAGGAGTGTTCCCAAGGGTGTCTCTTGCTTCTAATTCTGCCCCCAACTGTACCAGTTTGGCAACAACGGAAAGAACTTTTTTAGAAACTACTAGATGTAAAGGTTATTTTACTTTTTTGTTCTTTCTATTTATATTGGCTCTGAGACCCAATAGTTCATCAATCGCATAGACGCATCCCTCTTGCACTGCAAAGTGGAAGGCAGTCTGGCCTTGACTTATGCAAGTCAACGATCGCTCCTTTATGGATAAGTTCTTCTAATGCTTTACTATTGTTTTTCATAATGGCGATGCGTAAGGGACAGTTACAATTTAAGTCTTGTACGCTAATAAATAATAGTTATCATTTCTATGCAACATACAGGCCTTATTGGTTATTTATTTTTTTTAAACTGTTCGCAATTTATGTTAATTCAATATCATAAAAATCATTATTTAGTAGACAAAGATATATGTGTCATAACGTGAAATACCTCCCCCAAATCAGGTTAAAATTGTGTCTGAAAAAGTAAGGTTTTTGCGTTTAGCATGTATGGGGGGGCGAGGCGGCCGCGGCCGGTACTGCAGTGACGTCATCGCTCGCAGTCCGCTCTGTCTGGCCCACCTCTTTTACTCCATACATCTTGGGTATTACGTAGCTAGTAGTGCTAGTATGCTTTGCGAGTGGTGAACTAGCGCATGCGCAGACAGAAGGGCGGCGTTTTCCTACAATGAAAGGCACCACAGCTTTGTTTGTTACTAACAAAAAACTATTCACCATTGACTTATCTGGAAAATAAGATCATGTTTAATTGTGGACAACCACAGAGAACATTGTGGTCTCATGGGTAAAAATACCCAGACCACCTTTTCGGCAAGGAAAAAAAGAGAAAAAAGGCTCGCCTTCTCCCTTCTTTGAACGGGACGGGATTGGCAAGGCAATACAAAACAAAAGGACAATATAACCTCAACCTCAATCTCTCTTGTTGAAAGGAGCAAAACAGTCAAAATATGCAATTTTCACTACTTTAATAAATAAATTTACTAGGTACAATGATATTTAAAGTACATATGTGAATCATTTAATCCGTATAAACTGTGAAAAAATGTACGGGGAAACATAAGTGGAAAACTTATTAAAACTAAAATGGAAACATCTAATGAAGATAATCCTGCTGGAATAGATTTGGAAGATGAAGTGGTGAGTAGAATTAATTATGGGTACAGTTTCTTAAATGGGCTACGCTAATATTGATTGAAAGCGTAGCCCAGTTAAGAAACTGTACCCTTCATTATTAGATCCTAAGAAATTAGCTATTGCTCTATATAATTAATGTAGCCAATGGTTCAATTTAATTGGTTAATTGGCTGGGCTTAGACCATAGGATTTTATCATTCACTCAGTCAACCATTGATCATCATCATTGCATAAATTAAAGCCAATTAATCCCCGATGGTGTTGCATTACAATTTTGGTTTGAGGAGCTAAGCAAACGTCACCTAAAATAACCGTAGGTTAGCCGTGAACTACAACTACTGCTAGTGTGTTACCTACGCTCACAAAATAAAACCTCCTTACTGAAAAGGTTACTTCACCTTTGAATACGATACGATAAAGTGTAATGATGTACAATTTTATCGGGACTTTAATCGGGAAGATATCAAGGTTAAATCAATTTTACGTGAATTAGACTGGTTTAATTAATGGACCACAAGACGGGATGGATAACGACAAGGCTGTTCCGCCCGTCACCTAATAAGAATTGGAATCTGTAATAAAAAACGAATTAGGCTAACTTAATAATCAGAGCTTTTTGTCCTGCCACCTATTAGTTTGGTCTTGATTTATTAGGGTAATAAAATACAATACTTTATTCTAGCGTAAAGAGCCAATACCTAAAATAGTACGGTACGGCCAAGCAATTAGTTTTGTAGACAGGGCTGTTCCGCCCGTCACCTAACACTTCAATTGGCTGCGCTTTACTTGACGTCCTACACTCATTCGATTGTTTTTTCGATTCGATATTTTCATTCGATTGTTTCATTCGATATATCGTTTGGTTAGTTAGGTTAGGTTAACCTTACCTAACTAACCAAACGATATATCGAATGAAGCAATCGATTAATCGATATATCGATCGATATTTTCATTTGAATGAGTGTAGGACGTCAAGTAAAGTGCAGCCCTTCAATTTAATTAAAATTCAAATATGTTCTGTACCTTTAATTTAATGGATATGAATAATAGGAGTAGCCTAACACTGAAATACTATCGGATAACGATGGACGTGACCTGTTTACCTGTCCCCTAACAATATATTTACGGTAATCAAAATGCGATAGTACACATCAATTAGTCTAGCCTACACCAAAAATTAATTTAAACTCAAGAAACAACTAGTAATACCTAATACTAAACAGTCATGTGAAGGGTATGACCTATCTAGCTTGAAACTATCGTAGCCAGCCTATAATTTCCACCAAAAAGGAAATAACAAAAGCACCTTCAATAATAATACTCACTCACTCACTCCCATGGCCATTTATGCCCAAGGCGGGATTTGGCCGCACCAACAACTGCTCTCCATCTCTCTCGATCTTCTGCCTCTTCCACTGCTGCCCCCACTTCTCTGACATCCTTGGAGACACTATCCCACCATCTCTTCTTGGGCCTTCCTAATAGTCGTTTCCCTTCTGGCATTCCTATACTTCCTTCTTTTAATAGTGAACCCCATTCTCTCCGTAGTGCGTGTCCTGCCCACCTTATTCTCCTTGCTTTCACGTGTGCTAACTACATCATAATCATTGTACATATTCCTTAGCCTATCCCCCTATTATGCCTTTTTCTCCATTCTCAATATTCTTGTATTGGGCCATATATCATTCTTAAAATTTTGTTTTCAAAAACAATCATTTTGTTTTCTTCTTTTTTGTTTAATATCCAAGTTTCAGCTCCATATGTTAATACTGGTTGAATTATTTCGTTCTATGCGAGAGAATCTTTGAAGTCAACAATTTCTTACAAGTGTAGGGCCTAGAAATACATTTATTGGCCTGAGCAATCCTATAATTTATTTCCATTTCTTCACTATTGCTGCTTGATATAATTACACCTAGATATTTAAATTGTTCAACAACTTCAAAAATATGTCCATCTATACTCATTTCATTTGCCCTCATTTCATTTGGCTGTCTCGTGAAGTGCATATATTTTGTCTTCTCATCATTAATCTTTAGGCCCATTTTTTTCTGTTTTTTGTATGAACAGTCTGGTTAACTCCTCTAGGTCATTTCTGTTTTTTGACAGAATGACTACATCATCGGCAAAAGCTAGAATGTTTATTTTTGTTCCCATTTCCAAGCCTATATTTTGTTTGTCTTACTTGTTGGAGGGCCTCTTCTAAGGCTATGTTAAATAGTATAGGTGACAGTCCATCACCTTGCCTTACGCCTGTCCTCACTTCAAAGCTTTCTGATAACTCTCCATCATCTATTTTTACTTTGCATTTTGATCCATTCAGGGACATTTCTACTAGTTTTTTTAGTTTTCTGGGGATCCCAAACTTTTCCATCTGTTGAAATACTCTTCCCCTATCATAGGCCTTTGAAAAATCGACGAAAAGCCCATATACTTCTTTATTGTATTCCCAGTGCTTACTAATAACTTGTTTAAGTATGTGAATCTGATCCATTGTAGATCTCCCTTTTACAAATCCCGCCTGGTGATCCTCTATTTTACTACTTGTGTATTCCTCGAGGCGCTTTTGAATAATCTTTGATAAAACTTTATATACATGACTGAGCAAAGATATTCCTCTGTAATTGCCACATGTTCCTTTGTCACCTTTTTTATATATTGACACTATTATAGATTCTTTCTACAATAATAATAGTAAATTTAAAACATATTTAATACCGGAGTACTTACTGTTAATGTCCAAAATAGGGACAACGACTAAGTTTAACTATACCAATATTGTGGCTAGACCAGAGCGGGTTTATTAGTCTAGAAGGGAGCAGAGGAGAGAGAGAGAAGTGACGAGCAACACGCCGGCCGATTGAATGACGGTTCATACTGGGTCTTGGAGAACTCTTGCTCTACCCTTACCTACCCTTCGTCCTTAAGACGCTGCTAGTATGGCGGGTGGACACTGTCGGTAACACCGTTTCCCGCTCTAATTTAAATTTTAATCTAGGTCGAATTTGGGACCTTTCATTGTTTAATGTTTATGTTTGGATTTTGTACTTTTCTCTTGTTATTCAATTCAGTTTTTGTTCTAACTTTTATGTTGCTTTTATTAGTTGAAAGTGAATGCTTTAGGTATTCGCAGAGAAATATTTTCACCATTTATTTCAGGTACAAATCTAGTTTCTTGTGATGGATATATAAATTACTATAGGTTCCCATGGTCACCCTAACATGCATATCGTAATTTCTGTTTTCAAAACTCTGGAACATCAGTTGTTACTAATTGTCATGGCTGTGACATGAGCATGATATACAGTTACTACAACTACGGAACGATGTTACTTAGTTTCCTCTAGAGGCACTTTAGCCTCTAGAGGTTAGGGTCTTAACTTAACTCACACCTTGCTGATCTGGTCGTTCCAACTTAATTTAGGGTCCACTCAGAACCCGAGCAGTTTTACTTAGGCTAATTGCTGCTAGGTAAAACCCCGGAACAATGTACAAAAAAGATAAAAAAACATCTACTAAATATTCAAGTTTAATGAAAAACTGTGTGTTAGTGTATAATCAAGGGGCTATGTATGTTTCGCCTAACTTGCATGACTTTTTATGGAATTGAAATAACAATAAGCAAATGAAATAAACTCATTTCAATTTTGTAGTATTTTTACCTTCCTATTCTTACAGTAGACTCCCTCTTATCCGGACACCTTTTAACCGGACATCGGTTTAACCGGACTACACTCGGCGGAAATGACATCTCTTTAACCGGACAATTTTTATCAGCACATTAGTTTAACCGGACTAGATCGGCAGGAAGTGGACAGTACTGAAACTACTGTTCTCGTGGGAAAGATTTGAGACCAGTAATCACGTGTCTAAATACAATAATGCTCTCCTAAATTTAAGTCGAATATCACAGTAAATGGTCCATTTTAACGGGTTTTTGGGGACGTCGGTTTAACCGGAAAAACCTTTATCCGGACTGGCCTCGGTCCCGAGGAGTCCAGATGAGAGGGAGTCTACTGTATTTACAAATTTAAATGGTTTTAAAGCAAGATAGGTAGGCTAGGTTCTTGATTTTTTTACTTATCAGAAAAGAACAAAGCATACCACCTGCTGCCAAAATTTGGCACACTTTGAACCAATTTATTTTAAAGATTATATTTAATATTATCTTTAAAATAAATTGGTTCAAAGTACAGCAAGAATAGAGCTGTGATACACAATTTTAAATTAGGTTTAGACAATATAAGACTTTAACTTAACATAAAAGTTCAAGTTTTCCCCAAATTATGTTATTGTAAAACTTCCATTGGCTTCATTAAAGAAATTACGTTTTATTGTTTATAATACAAAATATCATCCTGAAATGTGTTTTGTAAGATAATTTCTTTAATGCGGTATTTCTAATATAAGAATATTCCATGAAAAATTTGTAACAAATAGTAAGTTTTGTTTTGGCACATAATGATATTTTAATAAGATGTTTAAACTAGGCGTTTCCTGTGTAATCTGACTGTTTAACTTGAAACCACATCTTGCTTTGACCAAATGACATATCTGTACCTGTACCTGCACTGATGGTGACTGATATTTATAGGCCTACACTTCAACCTGCCGTAGAAATCCAAGCATTCTATACTAGACTTTGGCCTTAATAGAAATACCCATAACCCGATGGACAATCACTTGTACTTACGTTGGGATACGGTTATAATAGTTTTGCTAAATATCTAAAGAACATCTTGAGAAAATATGTTTAATGCGAACAAAGTAATAGATGTTTCAATTCAGCCAATATTCAAACAAATTGCTCCGTTTTGTGAATATTTTACAATTTCTACTAGATTGTATTTGATTAATTAAGATTATATTTGTAATTGGTAATGACTGTACAGGTACATGGAATGACAGCTTCTTACACAGAAATATCATTTAATACTCAGTCTTCAGAACCAGATGATTCTGTATTAGAGGACCTTCATGATTCCATTCAAGAAGTTGATGCAAATGGTGAATCAAAAGCATCATTTGAAAGACCAAATAAATTACCTCTAAATATAGAAGAGTCTCAAAAGTCTGCTACTTCTTCAAGTACAAATAGAGCTGTAGAGTTTCTCAATCAACTAAATGGGACTATTACGCAAGATGGTGAAATGGTTTCCTTTGTTGCTGAAGATTTAGAGACAAAAATTAAGCTTTCTAGTCCCATTAGTAAAATTGAAGGTAAGTTATAGATTATAGAGAATAGTTTAGTATACCGTTACGATATTGTGGTTGAATATGCTACTTTACTTTTGCCGGGTCCTGATTTAAAACACTCCCAACCATTATAAATAAGTGCATATTAACTAATGAAATCAACAACTTTAACTTTATTCATCAACAAAATATGTACAAGAAATAAATAAGTGAGACATAGGAATAGTATTTCCCCGAATTGACTACAAGCCCATGCTCGGGGAAATAAAAGAAAGATATATTACTATTTATCTCTGGAGGGATACATTTTAATGCTCCTAAACAATATTATAGTGTACCATACTTGAGAATTTTCTGAAGCTATTCAGTATTTCCTCTAACTAGGAATGTGCTCCAAGAGTAATAAACGGTATCAGCAATCTGACACATACTTTCTCCCTTTAGCTTATCAAGAACTTTTAACATGGGCAATATAAGTGGTGGGAACTATTATATTTTATAAGGAAAATCACAAAAGTTGCAATAACTTTTTATCCATAATTGTTCAATAAAGGGGTTGCATTATTTTGTTTAGATTTATAACGACCATAATAACATGTGTCCGAAAAAGAACTGAAATATTTTAAAGGTAAATACTGATACCAAATAAGAGACTATGTATAATGTTTTATGTATGTATTTAAAGCTTAAATTCTCAAGTTTTATTAGAAACTTAGTATAACTCGATATGAGCACCATTAGTGACCCAGCATGATTTTAAGTGAAATTTGACATCTTCTCAGGTTTTGGTCAGTATATCAGGGGATATAAACGGTGCTATTCAATGTGACATGTTATGGGAGTATGTTTTCCCATCGTTGGGTGACATTGAGATGGAGAATGGCCCTGACTATTTTCAACAAAGGCATTTTAATGTTCAGCCTGTTGTGGTGATCGGGTGGTGATGTACAAGGAAGGGGTAGGTGTGACAGTTATAAAAATGAATAATTTTGTAATAAGCATTGTTTGTACAAGAGTACTCTCTTAGGAGCCTTAACAAATTACGTTGGCTTTTTAACCAACTTTTGGGAAATTTAAATAACACCATAAATCAATAAAACATGTTCTTCAAATGTTATTATTTACTTTGAAATGTATTATCAATAACATAATAATGTTTTTAGATAGCAAAGTTTGGGGAAGTGGAATGCCCTGGCTCTATCGGCAGACATTGGCTAGTCACATTCCTGCTATCAATTCAACAATCCTGACCGACCTCGAAGTCGAAGTGGGAAAGATTGCATCTTCTGTTGATTCGCTGACTGAAAATCTTGCTGGGATCCTCCACAGTGTTAGTAAAAACATTTCTTTTCATTTATTGTACATATTTATACAGTGGCGAAGCGTTGCCTACTTTCGTTGTCATCTCTGACCTTGAGCTAAGGGTTGAGGGCAGTAGCGTGGAAACAGCGTACCCACTCTGTTTTTTCAATGGATCTATAGTGTATATTAATCCTATATGCTGGTCAGTTCTTAGACGATGGTGAGCATTCCCGCACTGGACATTTGACGACTACACCACTGGTTGAGGGGGAGAGGGTAACATTGGCCCCAATGGAAGGATGGGGGTTTAGTTTTTAAGTTACAACAATATTTTTTCCATACATATATCGATGAAGTTAAACCTGAAAACTACAAAGGTAGTTTTAACTAACTACAAATTACACAATTTAACTAACAAGTAATCAATTACTCTATTCAGAAGAAAATAGACTTTGGCTGATTAAACTATGATTTTCCTAAATCCTTCACATTTAATAAAAAAAAAAAATATTAATTGAAGACTACATAGCTATCTCCACTCACAACATGTTAATTTTCATTTTAACTTAACTTAATTATGACTGTTATTAGGCTTCTAAAAAATTACTACTTATAGGCCAATGAGTTTGATTCAGTATTTATTTGATTTAAGTTCAGTTATTTTGTTGCAAACAAATAATCCATTTTCGCACACCTTCAAATAGACTAAGCAACCATGGTACAACAATTATAAGAAGACAATAAGGAAAACAGGACCATAATATCAGATCCTATAATAATATAGGTTCTTAGTATAGCTGAGGAGGGAAGGGGAAACAAGTTTCTTGAGTAAGGGAGGTTTGAGTTGTCAAGTTGTCCTTCCGAAAATTTGAGATGCTGAAGTATTGAATTCTGACTATAATGTTACGTCCCAATTTCATAACTCCATTTTAACACACTAAAACTTTATAACTTGAGCTTGTGCTATTTCCAAGTATTGAAAGGTAACTGTAGAAGATATAATATACTTAAAAAAAATTTACGTTGCATACACAATACAGTATTTATTATGAAGCAATGGTAATTCAGGACAAATATAAGTCTTAACTTTTTGTCCTAGCTTATATAAACAGAGATTAAAATAAAATATATGTTTAGAACATGAAAAAAACTGCAATATGAATAGAAAGGAAAATATACCAGGTATATATAGAGTTGTCAAATACTGTATCAAGTACTAAAACAACCACTTTTTGTGCACACACAGTACTGTATGTATAATTTATTTAGCAACGGTAGTTTTGGCAAAATAAACATTATAATGGTACCGAATTTGTTAACTTAGGTTTATAAGCATCATTGTCTTCAAACTCACCATAACAATCCACTCTAAGCATGGTTTTTCCCGATTTTCCAAAATTATTCATGAAATGAAAATGTCTCTTGCACATTCCCTAGCAATTTCAACTTTTTTCATCTAACCTTCATAACTGAATCACTCTACTTTGTTGTCTCTCAACGTTTTACATTCACTTGTAGCTTTTTTTTATTTATTTGCAACGATCATTAACTGGTACAATGATTTATGTAAACAAAAATTTATTATTCAATATTCTATTGAAGCATAGTACATTTTACTTTTACCATTTGTGTACAACAGAATACATCGAGATGTTGAAACAATTCCCTACCCTGTAGCATAATAGCCTGTTTTCCCATTTATTTATCTATTTATTCCAATGGAAAGCAGCCAATTTACAAAGACAACTTATTCATACAAGATGGAGTGATCGGTTACCTGAGAGTTTCAAAACATAAATAAGCTAATGATAAATACAGGTTCAACATGACATCTGACGCATCCAAAATAATCTCAATAACTGACATTATAACATAACAGTACTAGCTAAACATGGGGTTTCACATCCTAACAAGAATTCAAGGACAGCTGATTTCCAAAGTACGGCTTTTAACTTTGAATAATTGAGGCGCATCATGAGGACTTCAACTTATAATGGTAAACTTTGAGTTATTGAGGCTTGAGAAGGAGAAACTTTATGTAAAAGAGTTTTAGTATTGTGGTTTACAAAATAAAAGATGGTAGTGATAATCACAAAGTGTTAAAAACTCTACTTGTCAAGGTTAAATATTTAAAACGTTTAAATTTATTACCTTTTTTTATCTAAGGTACTTTAAGCATTGTGAGTTACCGGGATTTCAAGAATATCATGAAAAATCCGAGATATCAAGGTGAATGTTATTGATGTCCTACTGTTATAGCTATCAGACAGAAAATCCAGCAAATGTTGTACGGGATATAAAGACTAACTATAATACTGTATTACCTGGCAAACTGCTACATGGTGTTATACAAGTGTACATGGTTGATTGATTGATTGTATTGGTTTGTTTCAGATGTCAGCACTTACTGTTGAGTGCCTCGAGACTCACAGAGATGTTGTCTGTAAGACTTGTGATGCAGTCGATTTAAACATCAAAGTAAGGCCAATTATTACTTCTATAAAATTTAGCCTACTTTAAAGTCGCTTACATTTAAAAATGCATAAAATATATTAAAGACAATTAAGTTGCCAAACTAGAGGAGTACCATAACAATAAATACCTTATACGTTAAATATTAGATGTTAGTTTTCTGGCTAAAATCCAAGATTATCAAAATGAATAATTTGTAATGAAAATACCACATTGCAACATATTCAACCCAAAGAAAACCAACCATAAAAGAATATTGAGTTATTTTCCTTATAACCCTTTTATATGTGATGTGGAATGCAAAAAGGGACCTCTTGTCGGTGATGCATAAAATGCCAGTACGGCCGATATAAGTAATTAAGGTCAAAAATATTGAAATTCTGTTTTTTACCAATTTTTATACTTTATTTAACTTAGAACAGGACAGTATCGGTTAAAATATCGAATTGAAGATGTAAAAGGTCGAAATAAATCATTTTGTTAGCCTCTGCACAGTCTGAGAAAAGGTACCACTTGTCGCTCAATGTTATTTCGCCATAACGACAAGAGGTCCCATTTCTAATATTCACTTTATGAACAGATTTTAGTCCAAAAAAATAATTGTCCTGAATTCTAGTGGAAATTTAGAGAACCACAACAAAGTTCCAGAACCACAAAGAACCACAAAGGTGAATGGGAAAGAGTCCAAACTGGAACAGGAAAAACAAAACTTTACATTATATACACAAAACTAAAAAAATCCTAACATTACAAGGTTTAAAGAGTGTTGTACATATGTGTGGATTGAGTCACTTTAGGCCCTAGTGACGAAATATACTAAAACATAATACTACTAATACACATACTTTTATTTCACAAATTACATAATAATTTAGCCTATTAACTATGTTCTAATTTATTGTGAAATAAAATAAAGTGTAGTTTGGCGTAAGTTATGTTTTAAGTGTTTATTAATAAAACCTCTGCAAAGACTGTAAACGAAGAAGTAAGGTGATGATCAATGTTTGGAAGCTGCCCAAGCGCACTCCAAACCTGGCTATGCCACTGAAAAAATGTTATACTCTGTACTGTATAAACAATTGTCAGTAAAGGAGGGTCTATGAATAGTGTGTTATAATGGATTACATTCAGTAATTTTAAACATGATATGTTTATTTTTCAGTCGATGTACCAGCTTATGGCTAAGTGTGAAGAACTGAGCAAGTCCATGCAGCCCATGTACAAACTTGCAGAACATATGTATCCTTTATCAAGACTTACCTTGTTTCAATTAAATTATTTGTTATTAGAACAGACTACCTATTCAGCAGTATTTATGTGCACTCTTTGGCACACTTTTTTATACATTCCTCACCCAAGAACTTTTTGGAGAATAGTTAAGACACCAAATGACACATTAAACATTGAATTGGCCTTTGATTTAAACTCGATTTTGTGATCATATTCTGTTATAAAAAAAAAGGGATGGACGGGTCTCAAAATTCCGAGATTTTTTTTCTGAGAAACTACTCATAAAAAGGAATTATGAAACTTAATCACATTGAAGCAATTAAATGTTAGTCATATTTAGAATAGTCATCTTCAAATCTCATACTACTATAAGAATCGTTACTACATTTAAATGGTTATTTTCCCTTGACATTATTTTCAGTAAGGAAATCAAGCATTTTCTCGATATTTTTGAAAACACCTTAAACTAAGGAAATGAAGACTGCTACTTTGTAAATTGGTTACTGGACAGAGCCGCATTTCTCACTAGGCCCAGGCCAAAGGCGCAACATTTTAGAGGGCAAAAAGTTTTAAGGGGTGCAAAAAAAACTAAGCTTATATTTTTAGATGCAACGCAGGAAGGTCTTTGCGTTGCATCTTACATGACCCTATTTCGTAGGCCGTGACAATCGAAACTGCAACAATCCCACTTACTGACAATGTCACCTGTTTAGTAGCTACGCTATTATGACTAACTTTAATATGACAATAAAGGGATATTTAATTAGAATTTTTTGCAATCAAGTCACATTGGTTCAAGATTAATGGCGCTAGCAATTTAGAATTTTCACAAATTATGCCTGTATATATTATTTGCAGGCTGTATGATTTCAATACATTTGTAGAATTTGCAAATATTTTCCATTATACATGTATTGTGTGCGAGTTTTATTTGAGAGTCAGTATCAAAATAAGTTGAAGAACTCATATTTTACAGTTTTTTTTACATTGAATGCAATCCAAATATCTATTTGACAATAATTCATTCACAGCTGGTGGGTAGGCTACATTTATACTTCCCCCCTCATATCGTTATGTACAGGATGGGATCGGGATTGCAGGCCATTGTGAGATGGGGGCGCTCTTTGGTCTGTGGGCCTAGGGCCACTGAATAGAATGGCTAAATGTGGCTCTAGATGTTACATAGCATTCTTAAGTTTTATCTATTTTCTCCAGTAAGAAATTTTGTGATTTTGGATTTGTATTTTGATTTTAAAATGTGATTTAAATTAACTTTAGCAATTAGTTTGAAAAACAAAGAAATAATGTTTTAAATGATTAGTTGTAAGGCCTTTTGAATGTATAGAAACCATTTGTGGAGGTAAATGTGCAATATAGGTACTTCTCAAAAACTGTTTATGATTTAATGACCTTTTCTAGCAATATTTTCAATATTGTAAGCTGAATCTAAAAATGTGATAATTTTTTGTCAGACCAGCCTTAAGTTATACACAGCCATGAAAACTCAAAACTCAGCCATTATTACTTAATTAATAAAATGTAAATATAAGTTTATTGTTCTATAAAACATATTTAATCATAAAGTAAATAAATGAACAACACAAAACTAGTAACCTGGATTCCTAATCAGTTGGTAATATTCGCAAACTAAGGGGGCTCTCTTGTCTTTACTCTAGCTGGAGGAAAAAAAGGTTGTTCTACCTAAAATTAAAATTTATAGCACAATAATTAAGTGTTTCCGATGAGAGTTTGAAAGATTCTAAATATAACTGAGACTAATACTTGAAGTTGAGGAAGCTGTAAAGAGAGAGCAAACATCTGTTGGTGTAAGATTCACGATTCAACTTGTAAACAAAGCGAAAAATATAGTTGGTGAATCAACTAAGCCCAAATATGTAAAAACATGGTTTTGATACATTGTAATAGTTGTGGATTGTCGCTTACTTGATAAACAATTTTAAGTAACCTAAGCGAAAATAGCTTTCTTTTTTAAAAACCTTAATGAAACAGTTTGTATGTATAAAATATGTTAATTTATTGTTAAATGCTCATGAGTGTTGCGGCGACTTTTACAATCAGCAGTTTTATAAAACCATTATATAAAAATAATTTTAGTAGGCCAAATAAAATCTGCTCAAGGGCCAGACGTGGCCTGCTGGCCGTAGGTTGAAGATCCTTGCTACTCATCTACAAATCCTTTGAAACGTACCTTGGGTGGACCGTGATGTCGTGAAGTCGTAAAATGTCTCTGCTAACTCTATTTTGCCACTCTAAACCTGAAATTAAAGATCTATGGAGCTTGGAGACAATCAGAAAAATAAATAAATAACAGAAAAAAAATAAAATAAATTGCTGAGGGTGGGGTTAGACACTCAGTAGCAGGTTGAGATAAACTGGTGCTCCCGATCTTTTTAAGTTTTTAGTGGACAAATACTGGTCAATCGTAAAAAAAATTGTGTAGTTTTTGTGTGTTTTTTATCTGTGTATCGAACTGTAAATAGAATTTTTTGAAGTGTTCAAGGACTCTCACGTAATGTATGAAAAACAGATAAAATTACCTGCATATTTTAGTTAAATTACTTCAAGGAACTTGTTATCAGCTCTGATAAGAGTCAGTTGAACTTTGGTCTAGCTTATCTGTGTCCATGATCGTCCAACATTTCAGTTATCTGTTTGGCCTGATCTGAAAAACTTTATCCCTGTTTTCCCTGCTCTGGGATTTTAATTATTGTTTTATCCCAATTTCCCTTTTTTGGGGATTTTTATTAATTAACATTTTTATCTAATTTTTAATTTTGAAACAACTTTAAACGTTTGTATTAAAAAGGACTACCTATCAAAGAAATATATTAGACAAATATTTAATGTCCTTAGAATGACTCAACATCGTTGTGGATTATGCCACAAAGGTGTGAGGGTTAATGCAGTTTTATGCAGAGGGGCATGCGAAAAATGGTATCATAGAAGGTGTACTGACATAACTGATGATGTCTTCAAAAAAATGTGTAATGGGGAACAATTGGATTTGAAATGCTCAAAATGTAAAGATGTAACAGAAATCGAGAACAGTCCTGTGGATAATCAAACACATTTGATTGAAATAGAATCTAAGTTGAACAATATTAATGCTGAGGATGATAACATTGACCTGGAAACGTCCCTTACTCTTGCAGCAGAAGCTGGAAATGCTCTGTTGATTGAGAATCAAACTCTGAATCAAATCATACATGAACTTAAAACATCAAAATCTAAACTACAGTTTGAATTGGAAGACAAAATAACAGCCCTACAATGTGATAAAAATGAATTGGAAAATAATATTGAAGAAATAAAAAAAGATCACTTAGACAACATAAATTCACTGGAGAAAAAATTTTAAAAGACAAAGCCTTTAATGAAAACTTAATTGTACAGCTAGAATCAGACAAATCTATGCTTATATCTAAAATAAAGCATTTAAATGAAGGGAAAACTCAACTGGATGTTAAACTTAAAACTATAGAGGCTAAGGTAATTTTGTATCAAGAACAGATTGATTCCATACAACAACAAAATGAAAAAAGTACAGGAGTGTAACAGTTGTGATGAGTTGAAGCAAAAAATAAGGAAGCTGGAAAGTACTCTTAAGGAACTAAGTCTGGAACTACTTATGTTAAAACAAAAAAATACAGAAATGAGTATTTCTACAAGTAACTCAAAGACAAATCAGCCTCATATGGATACAAGTATATGTAGAAGTAAAACAACACAATCGGAATGTAATAGAACAAATCCAAAACCTGCAGTTATAGAAACAATCGCACCTAATACCCTACATGAACTGGATGATGAAGAAATTAATCTATGGATTAAAAGCAAATTGAACATCCCAATTAACAGTTTTGTTTTGTGTCCTTCAGTAGGCCACCTAGTGAAGGAAGTAGAGGACCTGGAGCTCAGTATGCAACTCTGCAATCAAATTGAAATGCAAAATAAAGACTACATCATGGCAATTATCAATAACAGAACTTCTAACACTCAATCTGGTTCTTATCACTGGTCTGTGTTAGTTTATAATCAATTTCAAAATGTTGCCTATCATTTGGACTCACTTGCTGGTCTAAGTAGTAGTCATGCTAAAGAGTTCGGTGTGAGATTGGCACAGTTTTTTGGGAATGAAGGAGCGTTTGAGCTGAAAAATGTGGAATGTTATATCCAGAGAGGAACAACCGAATGTGGCGCGCATGTCTTACACAATCTTGAAATAGCATGCTCCTTGATAACAAGTAATAAACCATTAACAAGCTCAATTTTCACCAAAGATTTCTCTGTACATAAATATTATGATGGTCTAAAACTACTCTCAGAACACTCAGCTTCTGCTCAAGCCTCACTGCAAGACACTAGGAATAATCAACACACAATCGGTTCTGCTATGGAAACTATATGCAGAGTAAATGAAAATCCTACTGTAATTCATAACTGTTGTAATGAGACTGAAACTGTTAAGAAATCATCCCTCAGGACTAGGAGGCAACCTAAACTTCCCAAGAAAAAAATTCTAATACTGGCTGACAGCCATGGGAGACACCTTGCACCTAATTTGTCATCTATCTGGCAAAAAAGCGGACACGACATAAGCTGCATCTTTAAGCCCAATGCAATTATGAAGGAGGTTTTATCTGATGCTAAAATCCTCACAAAATCCTTTACAAAGTCTGACACACTGGTTGTGTTGGGTGGGTCCAATGATGAAGTTAGTCAGGCAGAGAGAAATTACTGTGAAACCATCAGGATATTGCTTGAAAATACAACGCACACTAACATCATTATATCAGCACTTCCCTACAGGCATCATGTCCCAGGCCTCAACAACAGAATATGGTTCCTTAATACGAATATTGAAAAACTAGTGGCCCAACATAAACATGCCTCTTTCCTGGCCATAAATAAACTGCCACGCCACCTATACACACAACACGGTTTACATTTCAACAAGCAGGGTAAAAAAACAATAGCTTTTATGATAAGAGATATTCTTTGTCCAAAACTTCAGCCATCACTTAAACCTAAACCTGACTCAGCAAGTTTGAAACATAAAGTGAAAAAAAAACTGTATTAATATTGTGAAAGAGAACATGAGGAAAATTATTGACTTGAATAAAGGTAATACCTCAACAGCATTTGCACACACTATTTCTAGGGACCTCAGTCACGAGAGAAACATGTCTGCTGGGGTAGCAGTTGTGTTTCGCAACAAATTTGGAAGGCCACAAGAAACTGACTTTATTAATACTAAACTGACCTGTCAATCTGTTGTGGGGGGAGCAACGGTGTACAGTTTGGTGACCAAACAGGAGTATCATGGAAAACCGACCAAGCAAGACTACGATGAAGCTTTTAACCAACTCATAGAAGATTTCAAGAACAAAAAGTTTGAAACCCTAATCTGTTCACCTATGGGTTGTGTGCGTGATCTGATGCAGTTAGAAGATTTTGCTAAAAACATAATAAAGCTGCACAACCTGACAAATGCTACAGTTATAATAGTATCTTACGATCAGCCAAGGAAACTATGGCATGGTCTTACACACTCAGAGTTTCTGGAACAGCTGCAGAACACAATTGAAAACTGTAAAAACAAGGAAGAGCCAAGCATTATCACTACTGCAAATCCTAACATCAGTGCCAACAACTTGCTCCAGCTCCCAACAGAGACCAGCCCTTCACCGTTGCTGACTTCTGACCACCGAAAATACAGTGAAGTAGTAAATGGTGCAGTGAAAAAGCAGAGCAATGTGCAAGTGTTAAAATTTCCCCAGTGTAACAATAGCCTAAATGTAAATAGCCATAGCAAAAAAGAATCTGTAAATCACCACCCTTCCACACCACCTAAAACTCCAAAAACACCGAAAACTCCTTTAAACTCTCCAGTAACGCCAACAACCTCACCAAGATGACAGCACCAAACCATTTCCCAGCCCTACCCCTAAATAACTGTTTAGTTAGTAAGAGAAATCAAAGCTCATCAAATATTAACAAGAGTAATAATGTAAGTCATAAGCTTTTTTCTATCTTCCATCATAATGTGCAACACCTACCATCTCGTCTAGATCAACTTAATGTTATTGTTGATGAGCTAAAACCAGATTTAATTGCCTTAAGCGAACACAAAATGAAACAAGAAGAATTAAATTTACTTAACTTTGCAAATTATAAGACTGCATCTTACTATGCTAGAACTTTAGGACGAGGTGGAGGTGTGATAATTCTTGCTCAGAACTACTTAAATGTTAAGCCTGTTAAAATTCCTTTTATTCAATCCCTCTTAATAGAAAAAGAATTTGAATGTTGTCTAACAAAAATAAGAACACACAATTTTTCTTTTTTACTTGGTTGTATTTATAGATCTCCAAATAGCACAAACTTAAATACATTTTTTGAAAATCTGGAAATCTTATTAGATATTGTGTGTAAAAGATTCCAAAACGTAATAATAACAGTTGACTTTAACATAGATGTATTAAATAGAGATGAAAAATATAATAGATTTGTAAATATTCTGACCATCTATGGCATGAGATATGTGGTGAATTTTCCCACTCGTGTTACAGAGCATTCTAAGACGGCTATAGACAACTTTGTTACTAACATAAAAGCTAAGAGCTTACGAGTAACTGGTCTAATAACTCATATCTCTGATCATGATGGCCAGCTGTTAGAGTTGAACAATGTAAATTAAAAAAAAATAGGTTAACTAGGAAACAAGTGCACAAGTTCAATCTTAGTAACACAGAATCATTCTGTAGGGGTTTGGGTTCCGAGTCCTGGTTTCAGGTTTTTCAATCCACTGTCGATCTTAAATATAATACATTTTTTAATAATTTTAAACACCAATTTGACATAAACTTCCCAAAATTGTATACAACTGAAAGGGAACATAGACCAAATCAGTGGATCAGTGAGGAAATAAAAAAATAAACAGGCAGAAATAATTAACTTAGAGTCTCAGTTTAGATTAAAGAAAGATGAAAATCTAAAAATGTTGATAAAGTCTGAGAAAAAAAGAACTTAAAAATGATGTAATAAACAGCAAAAGACAATATTTTAATAATAAAATCCTTAAATCTAAAAATAAAAGCAAAACCACTTGGAACTTGATTAGATCAGAAGTTGGTAAAACTTCTAGGTCCCATTATAATGCAAATATTAAATTATTACACAATGGAACCTACTTGACAGATCCAGAAGTCATATGTGAAACTTTTAATGACTTTTTTGTCCATGTGGTAAAAGAATTGGTAACTCCTAACACTGCAACAAATTCTACAAACTATAATATTGGCAATGAACATCCAGATATCACCTTCAGTTTTAAAACCGTAACGGAACAGTGTATTAAAAAAATTATATTATCTTTTGATAACAAATTATCCACGGGTAAGGATGAAATTTCCATTACAATCATTAAGGCTGCCCTGCCCTACATTTTTTTTCTCTAACTCATGTAATAAACCATTCCCTCATATCAGGAGTATTCCCTGAGAGTCTTAAAACAGCCAGAGTTATTCCTGTTCTCAAAAAGGGAGATCCAGAAGACATTAGATGCTATAGACCAATATCATTGCTTCTGGTATTCTCTAAAATCTTAGAAAAAGTTGTGTTTATTCAGTTTTCAAATTATCTGGAAACAAATAATCTTCTTGACAAACAACAACATGGTTTCAGATCTAAAAAGTCTACTATAACAGCTGGTATCGAGTTTGTAGAGTCGATCATTGATTCTATTGACAGGGGGGAGAAGGTAATTAGAATTTTTCTAGATCTGACAAGAGCTTTTGATAGAGCATTCTAAACTATTAGATATGCTCTGCTCACTCGGAGTAAAATACACTGAATTAGCATGGTTTCAATCATATCTTACCAGCAGAAAACAATTTGTGGAAATTAATTACTATCGTGAAACTTAAAAGTTTAAGTATAAAGAAACTTGTACCTCTCGCCCATTAACAGTGCAATATGGAATCGATTCCTCAGGAATCGATTTTAGGTCCCTTAATGTTCCTTTGTTACTGTACCTGAAGGGTCTACCAGAAGTCACTTGGGACAGAGATACAAAAATATGTCTTTATGCAGATGACACAAATGTGGTTGTCTCTGCTGACACTGAAAATAATATTGAAATATCATCCCATATTGGCTTATCATTAATTAAAGACTTTTTAGATAGCAGGAATCTCCTTCTAAATTCAAAAAAATCAAATTTTGTATCATTTTCAACAAAACAAACTAGGAACAAAATAAAGCCTACAATATTTGTTGATAATCATGTATTGACCCAATTAGACCACTCAAAATTTTTAGGTTTAATCATAGATGAAAATCTGGCATGGGATAATCATATTAACAATCTTATTAGAATAACATCCGGTAGCCTTTACGCATTGAGAAAAATTGCTACATCATGTAATATTGAAACGTTAAAAGCAGTCTATTATGCATTAATTCATTCACACGTCTGTGTCTATGGATCTACCACAAAAAAAAACATGGACAGAGTTTTGCTCCAGCAAAACAGGGCATTGAGGATAGTGTTGAATTTAAGATCAACGACCTCGGTAAGGCAAGTCTTTTGTATACATAAAATATTCACAGTCTACAGTCTTTTCATTTATGAGTCAATTAAATTTGTTTTGATGAATGATAAAATTGCAATAGGTAACCATATTCATAAATATAACACAAGATCACACCGATTGGTAGAGCAGCACAATTTGGAATTTTATAAGTAAAAAACTAGTTATTTAGGAAACAAATTTTTACATCACCTTCCAGAAACTTTAAGATTGGAGAAAAATCCAAATAAATTTTTAAAATCATTAAAAAGATTTTTAATTGAATCAGTATTTTACTCCATTCAAGAATTTTTTTTGTAATTGAAAATCACTAAAAAACTAAAACATTTAAGTATCTCCATTGATTTGTTCTATGTTTGTTTTCTGTTACTTTAATTTGCATTTGATGTATTAATCAGCTGGATTTATTATTATTTAAAGAAAGGAAAATCAATTTGAAGGTCATTAATTGTTATATATATTCTGTTTTGACTACTGTAAAATCCCTAGTTTTAGCGATCTATGTTGACACAATTTCATGTACCAATCTGTGCATTTTATGAAATAAAGAAGTTGATTGATTGAAATTCTGAAATCAGTCCAAAACTTAGATAACCTTTCCCTGCCCCTTTTTTAATGGCTGAAATAAAGACTTTAACCATTGACTATCTTTAACCAACCTTTTAAACAAGTTTAACCAGAAAAAGTACCTGGAAAGAACATTAAAATATCTCTGAAAAGTAGGGTGTTTTTTAAACAAAAACATTAAAGTTTTTGACGTCTCATATGTTACAAAACTCTTATCTAGTATATATATCATCACTGGGGACTAAAGCGACTCTTTTTCACCCAAGCTCAAGTTTCACGACCAATGCTGGAAAATGAGCAAGGGATGAAAACATACTTTTACCCGTGTGATGTAGGCTACTTCATTTTTTTCCATATTCCAACATTATTCAAGAAAACTAAGTAAGCAAACAAAAATACTTACTTATCATGTAAAGATAACCCCTCGAAACGGCATCAAACTTCTTTTCAATTTTGAAAATTCAAACAAGCAGCTGAAGTGATTCAATTATTTTGTCTATTACAATTTTGTTAGTATACATTATACTATCAATATATTGAACTATTGACAAGAATGCAATGAGCTGCAACCGATTAAAACAATCGATACATACTATTGATAAATGCGATTGCTTACAATCAAAGTTTACAACCGAGTTAAGAATAGCTGACTTTTACTCCCTAGGGACTAAAAAGGTTTTTACTCCCTAGGGAGGAAAGAGCTACTTAAGACCTGCAACCTGTATTGAAAACGGCTGTTTTCGCTGCAGTGTTACAAAAATCCATTTTGCTAAGGAGAGTCTCAACTATGTAATAAATAATTAAATTTATTAATTATTTTTATGTGTATGCTGTCCAATTTTTTTACAATGGGTTTTTTACAAGAGTTTGTTTATACCTGACACTCCTTTCTTTACTTGCTTCCTTTTTTTGAATGTCTCGGTTATTCTTCGATTACATTGCGTATACCTCATCATGTGACCACAGCTTATGGCAGGGCTTTTGTTGTTACCGCTTGTCGTCTGTGGAACGGCCTACCCCTACACATTAAGACCCTTGAAAAACGTTCCCAGTTTGTGGCGGCACTGAAAAAGCTCTATTTTGAGAAGATGGTCTCGGCTGGCGTGTCCTAGGGCTACTGTTACCTTGCGCGTTTGCTGATGCGTGTATGCGAGAGTGTGTGAATGTGTTTTTCTATTTGTTAAATTTTTATGTGTTTTTTTTAGATATGTAGGTACTTGAATTGTTAAATATTTTATGTTTAATTAGATTAAGTTATTTATCCCTATGTCACATTATTTATGTTATATTTTTAATGTCAGGTTAAGTGTAAGAAAGGGCCATGTGGCCCTAACTTTGCCTGAAAAAATAAAGGATTTTTCATTTCATTTCCTTTAATTTTAGTGAAGAATGATTTAAAATTCGCCATTTGCTGTTCTCCCAAATCATGATCCACTGTCTTTGTGTTTGATTATTTTATAAAACAACCGTTTTAGAAAACGGTTTTAGGGTCAACTTTAAACCCTATGGTGTATTTTGAAATGTGTAGATTCAAGAATAAGGGTTTAACATACTATATCAATGTAACTTTCTATCAAAATTGCCATGATCCACTGCTCTATGGCGACTGAAATGGCATCACTTGGCCTTGAGAATGAGCCGCTCCCCACCACCCTCCTCCACTTGGCTGCCGGACTGTACTCGCTTGAAAACCGTCAGATATTTCTGCCGCTCCCTGTATTATGAGGTTTAGAACTTAAAAAGTCCTGTTTCAAAACATTTTACATAACTATTCATGGCTTGCCTTCATATTAATATGAATGCATAAAGGTTAATTAGAAGAAAGAAAATATGAATGGTTATATTCAATGAACGATTGTCAGTTGCATTGCGGTTTACTAATTGAAAGATTTATATAAAATAAAATATGTATTGGGGTTGGTTATATAAATTAAAGGGGGGGGGTTATTAATTTATTATACATCGTTGAAGGGTACAGAGTTGTCCTCGCATTAACCGATAATCGGATTATCCACCCTGGCTCGTAAAATATTACAGTTTGTTTCAACCAACCTTGTTTTTTAGAGCAGTTTGGTTTAACCTTGTATCACTTATTTTTAAAACAGTCTAGTAGGTAAAAGAAGGAATACTCGTGTAAACATTAAATTATTTTCGTTTACTAACAGATCTCATGAATATAACTCACAGGTTTACATCGAGATAACAATACATAACAAACACTCATGTAGCCAAAAATTATCATGACCTCCTAACGGGTGCTTCACCACACAAAAAATCAATTAAATTAATACTGAACATAACTACATTGATTCGTACTTGGTTAAGACACAAGACTCTAACTTGTGCTGATACATTAATTGGAAGTCAGAGGCAATAAATTATAATGTATGCAATAGAAAATTATTAAAATATTGACTCAAAAATACTGACAGAATGTACGCAAACAAGTATTGAGTTGTACAGTGTGATATAGAAAACAAGTACATATTCTCATATTAAGAGTCCCAATGAAGTTTAATTATAAAAAAGTTTAAATATGTAATCATTGATTGAGTTTCAGAAATAAGTAGGAGTGAGATATAACTATCCAAATCTGTATTTTTATCGCAATTCAGGTACTTAATAATGCCTTAAAATATTTGACACTGACTACCAAACACCCTGTATAGTGAAGTGATCTGAAGTTTATTTCATGTTAAGAAGAAACAACTGAAAAATGTTGTATATTTTTAGTCTTTATTATGAAATAATGACGTTAAAATAATATTCAAGACGTTTATTGATCAACTAAAGAAACTTTAACTCCTAACACTATCAGCATACGATGTTTCTTGGATGTTATAATTGTAAACCTTTGGATTTTACAGAGATGTTTAAACTTGCAGTACTCAATGTTTGAAAGGACCCACAATGTAGGCTATTCTTTACCAACCAAGAATACCATAATTACTATTATCGGATAATTTCAATGACCTACACTTATTCTAATACAACCACATGACATAATTCACAATCAGGTTTATGGGATCAAAATATAAAATCCTTATACACTCCAGATGTATTATAATTACAGGGTAAAATATGGTTGCGTTGAGTGAGTTTTTGAGCAAGCCTTGTTAGGAACCTTAATATTAAAAAATGCTTTTGGTTTACTAAAGGCCAGGATGAGTATGTGTCAGCAAAATAAAATTTGTTTCAAAGCTATACATTTTTGAGATAGGCCACAAGTTAAATAATATGACCGACATCAGTTCACCTTACTCCGCATTATTGGTGATAAATGTACAGTATGAACATCGTCTAAACGAGTAGGATATTATAGTTGAAAACCATGCATCATTGCTTCCTGAACTCATCGTTTTTTTGTTAAGGTATTAATGTTAAAAATCATTCTTCAGGAATATTTAATTGTAGAGGTGTGCGAGCCTCAGATTTTTTATCAAACCAGACATCGAGCTTTTTTACGAAGTGAATTCTAGGCAACACCAAATAATAAGATAATTTCTCATACAGTGTATATTAAAAATGCAATATAATATATAATAGTACACTGTATTTAGAAAGCAGTATTAGATTTAGTAATTATTAATTGGGTGAAATGTGCATTTATCACTTAATTACAATGTTATTCATGGTAATATCGTGAACACTTCCCAAGGTCGTGTGGACATCATCACTGTTTCCCGCGATCACAGCAAAATTGTTATTATCTTTGGTTTTTTCTGAGAATCGTCATCATTTGCGCGATCACAGAACCGTTATTTTTGTCATCTGCAATTCGAGCAAAAATGTGAATCTTGCAATCGCGTGGTGTTAGCAGATGTGATCTGCCACCACGATCGTAAAAACTTGGCTCAAGCTCGAACTCACAAGCTTGAAGCCTCCGCTTGCACACCTCTATTAATTTGTATAAATCTGTATGTTTAAAGACAATTTTTAGAAATATTAAATGCTTAAAACAATTCACATTTAACAGTTCAAGCTTCACCAAACTTTGTACAACTCCACTTGACGCTTAAGTATAACAAACGATTGAAATTAAATTTTTCCCAACTTCCATCAAACATCTACTAACCATGTTTGTTTAACTTTTCCTACATTTGGTTTTAAGCAAAAGCAACAAATCTGAAAATATTAATTACTTATTGTGAATTGAATATATTTTTACTACCTATAAAAGAAGTGCTTCTTTAAAATCTTTCATTACAAAATATAAAATCCTGTTTTATGACCCTTAAAAGAAGGCCAACATGGGCGGACTTCACCTAAACTACAATTTGTCTAGTTTATAAATAATAATGGGCTCACAAAGACAGCTCCATAAAAATATTCCTGAACGGACAAAAATTCTTTTATATGTTAAAATTATTCCTGCCAGTGGATACCCTTAAATATATGAAATACAACAAGTGCAATTTACAGTACATATTAATACAATATATAACAAACTACCAATAGCTACAGAGTAAGACCAGCGTTCAAACAATAACATTACAATATTTTCTAAATTATTTAAATGGATAAGAATATTTTCAGTTCTTCAATATCTAAAGTCTAAATTACTTATTGAATAAATAAGTGTAAGGAGGCTATATAATAAACGGCACATGCAAGACTGGACCTGCAACCTAACTGGCACATATCGAAGTTTTGGAATGTCAACACAAATTATTGGCATTCCCTATTCTCTTCATGCTTGTTTTATGTTATATCTTCTCTATACAATTTGTCAATTTTGACAAGCGACATCAGTAAACAAAACTATTTGACAGATTTATGATATAAAAGCACATTTTTAGGGGACACTGAGTATAAACATTTTTATTTAGTCAATTGTAATGAAATATTTTTTTCCATTCAAGAAGCATTTTTAAAGAATTTAGGATCAATATTGAGCTTTCTTTTTTAATTTTACATTGATAAACCCTTAGTACTGCCTCAAAAATACTTTGCTAAAGTGAAATATTTACTATTAACTTATATTAAAGGGTGACGCAAAAAATGGAAACTCCTAACAACCCAAGAATATTAGCTGATAAGAATAGAAATTTAAGTATTTCTAACAATAAAAAAAATCAAAAAGTGCCATTACAGAAACACTAACAGGTATCATTTATTTTTTTTATTCCATTGATTCTACCTATTTTTAGGCTTTCTCTGAACAGTTTCCAATCTACTGTTGTTTTTTTTTTTCTTTTAATGTGTACATTGCTAATGTCTACTGTTGCCTGTTCTACTAATGCTTTTTATTTATACATATTAAATTGTTTATTTGTTCTACAAAAATTTCCTAGAAGTACATCAACCGGCTTGTAAAATATGTTAAATGTTTTATATTAAAATTTCTTGTTTTACTGGGTCACCCTATGTAATATTATATTTCATCACAAGATATCTTAATACATTGAAATAAAATTGACAATCAATTAACATATAGCTAATGAATTATTCCTTTTACAATCAAACTTTGCTCCTAAAAAGGTATGTACTTTAAAAGAAAAAAATGTTATTTTCCCCAACTATTTCAGACTTTTTCAACTACCTATACATACAATAGTATTTTTTGAATGATACTACTATAACATTTTATGGGAAGTAACTAGGAGTGGTGTTCAGACTTTGTCTATCAGCTATACCAATTTACACAGAATTTAACCTATGGTCTAAAATCAAATAGCAACAAAATTTGTGTAATATAAAAAATACAGCGATTATCAAAGTGAGTTTATCAAGAACATGCCATGCCTTTCAATAATTATGCCTAATAATAATAATGCCTTTGAAGAATTTTCCTTTCATTGCAAAGAAGCTCCAAATTATGCTGAATATCAATTTAACCGATTTAAAATAATAAACAAACTTTTAAAATGCTTTATTAGGGTAATAAAGATAATACAATTACATAAGATTTATATAATAACATACAGTAATATAAAATATTCACAATCCAAAATTATATAAACAGGCTTTAAGACATTGGTAAACCATTCAACAAGTATAATCAAATGTAAGTTTAAATATTATTGAAATTATACAGTGCATTATTTAGTCTTGAGCTTACTGTAATGCGTATTGACATTTATCATTTGTTCTCTGGAATTCCAACCAAAGATATAATTTGAATAGGTTGGTTGTTAAAAGACAATTAACAATTCAATTCACAATGACAATTCTATAGCGAAAAATTAATTAGGCAAGTTTACCTCAAAGACCTGTTTTGCAGACCAATATAGTAATATGCTGGATATTTGTCACAATCACAGGCATTTACAATAACAATAATGATTACCCTGAATATTCTTTTATGTAATATATCCCATAACTAAGAGCTCCTGCTTATACACTGGTGTTCCCATCAACAGGACAAACTATGAACAGCTGCAGCTGTGCTAGATCCAATACATTTGTGAAAACATTGACCAGCCGCAAAACAAAACAAAACAAATTTTTTTTATAAAAACTTCCTGTAGGTATCCCAAATAAACAAATTGTTTCAACCAAACAACACCACAAACATATGATGAAATCTATAATACCCAATGTTTTCAAGACTCATTTCCCAGCCAATTCTTGCTTAAAGTTGACAAATTTTACTGAAAGTTAGGTATGAAACAAAGTATATTTACTAAAATTAACTTTCTCTCTAATCCTGTGCCTGTGCACACCCTGTGATTAACAATTGTATAAGATAATGCAATAAGAAATTGTTAGACTCATCATTATGTTGCAAATAGCAGACCAATTGGTCAAATATTGGGTTTAAAAGTTAACTATGTATTTCTCAAATAAGTGAAAACTAACTGATACGATTAATTATACATATAAATTCCATATTCCATATAAACTATACTTTAAATAAATACCTGTATTATTTATTTTTATAGTGAAATTCTTAACATGAAAATGCTAAAACTGTTGATTGAATTAAAAGGTTGCGTACCTATATGAAAAGTGTAGCTAGGTTAAAGTAAAAAATCAAAAGTTACCTAACAGTTTCAAAAATTTGCACAGTTCAGTAATATAAAAGCATATGGATGGGTGAGTACTGCAATACAAAGACTCTAACTTCTAGTGATACAAAAGTTAAACAATGCATTTGATACAGTCATGTAATACACTGAAACATTAGCTGTCATTATTTTTTTTATTAAAAATTGTATTCTGTAATAAAATTCTTTACTTTATTTATAATAAATTAGATATAATTTGTATAGTGTATAATTGCGGGAATAAAGATGGTTGCCAAACTCTACAAAACATTTGGATGCGCCCGCCTGTATTCAATATTTGGAAAAAATAGTTACAGTAATTGATTAAACTTTTAACATAAAGTAAACTAGCTTTAGCTAATTTTATTTTGGCGATGTCTTACGGTTGCCATTAGTTAAAACTACTTTAAAAGACTAAAATCATTAGTACTCACCCAACCTTAAAAAAATTATAAGTAATAATGATACGATACCTATTTTTCATTCCCACAAAAACAGTATTATATTACTATTGAAACCATGATTCAAACTGAATTTTAAAATCACTTCCTCAATATTCTATAAACAACTTAGGCTATGAACAAACCATACATGGGTCAAAATCTCACTTAGGATTAAATTGTATTTAAAAAAATCTGTCCTCAGTAGAATAACTACTTTAAACAGAGTAAACCGAACTTAGCAGTGTTCACTTTCAAACAAGGTTTAGACGTTAAAAAAAGGTAGTATGATTTTCATCCAAATACATTAAACTTAATGACAGTTAAAATAATGCACACTGTAATAATTCATTTAAGGGTTTCTTACCACAAATATCACAGCCAAAGTCCGTAGCATTACATGTGGTCAAACTATTGCTAACAACAGAAGCGGAAAAGTGCACTTAATGTCAAGAATACACTGATAACAGACTTGTGCTGACTGATGTCATCATAAGAGCATACTCTGCCTACGTAGTTGTACAGGTAATCTGCGGCGCGCATTGGAACCAGAGGAATGATAACCGGGGTCCTTACTTAGCTGAATCCCTGGCACAGAGAATATAGAGGCCACTGAAACACAAACATCAAGAGTTGCAAGATAAAATATTATTACCTGCTATGATCACGTCACACCATATTACATAAATGAATCAATTTTGTATTTAGACATCAGAAAAAGCAGAATATTTTCAATCACTCATTCAGCCATTTATCTTGAACTCCAAATTATATAGCCACAAAATTAAAATGTGTATGTTTGTGTGTGTGATTGTAGGTCAGGGAAAAGAAATTCATGTTATGTTATTAGACCTATTTGTTTTTTGGAAACTTTGTAGTTTTATTTTGTTAATGTTTAGTTATTATTGTTAGTTTTTTTTTAGAGGTTAACTGTAAGAAAGAACAGTGAGGTCTTAAGTTCGCCTCATTTAAGGAATTTCATTTAATTTCATTTACATTTTTTATGATTCAGTTTTATTTGTTTACACATATTTCCTGAATTACGTGCTTTACTGGATTTACTGGTGTAGATTTGATTGTATTGAAAATTTCCACTTCTACACCAGTATAGCCAAAGAACCTAACTTATAAATCAGCCGGTCACCAGTTATAGCCGTAAACATGCTTAAGTGTACTATTTATTGACGCAATGAAAATGAAGAAATCCCATAAAATATGTAAATACAGTATTTTAGTTTAGTGTATGACTACACCCAACGATGGAGTAATCTCCGGAACGGCCGTTGTGTCATAACCAAACAAGCATTGCGAAGACAGTATTTACATATATATTTATTTTATATTTTAAGTAATTATACTTTATAATAAATAATAAACAAGGTGAGATGATAGAGATACATACCATCCGCCAATTTGTGTACAGCAGGTCCCAGAGAGCAAAAATAAGGGTGCTTCATGGCATCGGCAGCAGAAATCCTCTTTTTGGCTACGTACTACACAAAACACATTACACTTGTAAATAATGTAATTTGTCACACAAGACACATGGGTAGTGAATATAAGACACAAGGCAACACATTGTTGTTCGAAGTGAAAATAATTAGAAAATTCTCTGACACATTTCACTTTTTCTTTGGTTATATTTATGTAGTTTAAAAACTTTAATGGTTTATAGTAACCGATTAAACCGTGACACTAAAAGAGTCCTTTGTGAGGAAAATATAAATTAAAATTACATAATTATAATTTATTTTTTTAACTATTGCAGATATCAAAGAAGCAAGTTATGCTCCTAAGTAGGTTTGTTATACCTAAGAGTCTACTTTTTGAAGCAAATATAAAAAATGTGTCCATCATTTTGGGGATGGTCCACAAGGAGTCGGATGAAAATCTTAAACAAAAAACTTCTCAATGCACAGAAATCAGAGGTAAGGACAATGGCAACGGTAAAAAAAAACAAGCTGTAGATCATTATTTAAAGAATATGGAATTTTAACAGGAACAGGTAGATATATATACAGGGGTATATACAGTAGGTTTATAGCGAAAATGCGAAGAGTAAATAAGTCAAATAAGTCTTAAAATTGCATCCACAGTCCATAAAGACCATAAAATACACAGTTTTCCACTTTTCAAGTTTGCCACCATTTTGGAAAATGGCCGCCATTTTTGAAATAATAGAATTAATATTTTTAACAAATTTTATCATCTTTTTGGAATGTGGATGCAATTTTAAGACTTATGACTTATTTACTCTTCGCATTTTCGCTATAAACCTACTTGTTTAGGAGCTACATGATGTAAAATGTACACCGGAAGTAATTTTTCCATAGGCTGTAACTCCTAAACGAATGGGTTTATCGAAAAAATGTCAAGAATAAAAAAGTTTTTAAATTGCATGTTCTATCCGAAAACATGATAAAATATAGGGTGTTCGATAAGAAATTTCAAAGTTGACCGCCATATTGGAAAATGGCGGCCATTTACAAAAATTGTATTTTATTATTTTTGAACCTCTTTAAAAACAAGAGAATGTTCCCCATTTAAAGTTAGCTGTAAAATCATTAGTTACTGAGATCCCAATGGTGGCACACTTAAAAAAACACCCTGTATATTAGAAAATGTTAAGTTACTCTACAATAATCAGGACAGCTTGAAAAGTTTAAATTTAACCACAACAATTCCACAGCCACTCGTACTTATCTCATTTCCAGACCATAGATTTTCTCCGTATAAAAATAGTCCAAATAACATGGATATAAATTTTTGTAACAAGCTATCAAAAAACATAAGCAAAAATTAATATTTTCAAATCTTTACATAAATTATTATTGGAAAACCCTTATTATAGCATTAAGACATTTTTTCTCGATAAGCTTGATAGGTAAATTGTGCCATCAATATTTTAAAAAAATAGTCCTCAATTACTTTTTCTCTGTACTGTAGTCAAACCATATGCAAGACAATAGCCTATATCCCGTCCTAACACAGACGGATTGGTAACTTATTTCATCATGTAGTTTAAGCTTAGTTTTAAAAATTGCCAGAAGGATAAAAAGATTAAATTATTTTATTTGTATTACTATTACTTTTTGAAAGTTTTAATAATTGCAATTAGTTTTATCATGAATGTTGACAAAACTCCTATCTATGTACATTGTACAATAAAAAATATGTTACGAGTAAAGTAAGAATTTGAATTTGATAGCAGACACATCAACCATAGCTTATTCTGCTTTAGATACTTACACATAGGAATTTATTGAGAAGGTCTACTGCATCGGAGTCGAGTCGTGGGGCCCGAGACAGAATAGGTTCCGGGTAATATCGAGGGAAAGTGTATGGCACGTGCAAGTCAGGCCAAGCGTCTGCAGGTGGAGACCCTAGGCCCTTGAATATCAGTCTTAGCTCTTCTTCCACAGTAGAGCCCGGGAATAGTGGACGACCACAAGCCATCTCAAAGAATATACATCCGACACCCCTATAGAGAATGGCACCGAGGTAAAATTTGGTTACCAACTAGGTTAACATACTTTACAACTTTTTAGATTTGAAGACCTAACATAAGTTTACGTTATTTAAGATTGTTGCAGACTAAGTTTTTTTTTCCTTATCTTTATGGAAAAAGTTTACAGCTTTATCTCAAATAATGTAAACTCACTGTCACCAAAAATGAACCTGAGAGACAGTAGTGAAGTAATACAAATATATCTTTTTGTTTCACTCCCTCATGTTTTCCAATTAAATCTCTTGGCTCTTTGAGCTATTGCTTCTTCAGAGAACAATCAATAATCATATAATTGTCAAGTAATAAAACTACGTTGCAACCATTTTAAAAACCATTAGATATAATCGTAAAAACCTAATTTTTAAAAGTTTTCTATGACAGCCTTGGACAAATAATAATTCAAATTTCCTAGCTTGGCATAGGATAAGTTCTTTGGTACCCTTACAAATACTACACATTTTAGGGAGTAGTATTTCATTACAAGTATAGACAGTGGCATTTTCCGGTGCACACTCTAGTTTGCACAATGTGTGAGGCAAAGGAACACTAAATTTCATGTGCAAAGCGAAGCCAAGCATGTGAAAATGAGTTTCACGTACAAGGCGAAGCTGAAGGCGGGAATAATTCAAGCAAGTTCTGTAAAATAACTTTGGGTACAAGTTATTAGAATGATACTTTTATCATGACATAATTATGCCGATTTCTGTGTGCGGTTTGACTGTTCCCAAATGAAATAGCTGATTTATAATTCTATGTCATAAAAATATATGGTAAGGAAACACTAGTGAGCAGAGTGGGCAGTTGGAGTCCTGATGATCGTTTTCCCCTAACAGCTATTTGTGTATTATGAGTGCAAAGTACATCATTGCCGCTCAAAAACAGTACATGGCCGCACAAAGCTCTAGCGGTTGGACACTAAGTCGGATATCCTGAGGAATCAGTTATACCGAGGTCAGATATGACTGGTTCAATTAATTAGCCAAGTTTGATCAAGTATAAAGATTTACTAACCACATGTCAATGGGAGTTGAATACTCGGTGGACCCGAGTAGGACGTCTGGAGGTCGGTACCACAGAGTTACCACTTCATTAGAAAATGTCTTTGTTGGGACTGACTTTGCACGGGCAAGCCCAAAATCTGCCAACTTGAAAAAACAAAACAATTAGGACAGTAATAAAAATTGTGAAGTTAAAGAATTGTTATTTTTCAGAGATAGAAAAAATACTTTCATTCATATAATATAATATTAATTGAATTGAAACTAACATAATTAAAGTGGATAAAACACCTGCATCATTAAAATGAATATTCCTGTTTATCAAGTTACTGTATTATCGCTATTATTGTATTGTTTCATTTCCATTATAAGTGTGCAAATAGCAGAGTTATAGGTCAAGATGTGCAAGTCTAAATAACAGCAAGATGAATCAAGTTAAGAACATTTTTTTAAGTGTTTCAGTTGAGCTTTTCTCTAATAAAGCAACCTAACATAGCCCCAAACATATTTAACTTTAGAAGGGACATTCTGAAAGTGACAAAACCAGGGCCGGTATAACTGGGAGGAAGGGAAACGTAGTTTTGGTAAGGTTGTGTATTCTGGGTAGTTGGCTGTCAGTGTGCTGCACAAGTCGTTAGAGCTGTTTATTACACTACAGTAAAACATGTTTTATCCAGGCGAATTAACCTGAGTTCAAAACTGGGAAAAACTAGTTACTGTAGGAAAAGGGGTTTCCTTACAATTTGCATAATAATGAAACTAAGCAAACATGCCACCGATATCATTCATATTCCCAAGACAAATTGCTAAGACAGTAAACATAAAGTCCTTGTTGTTTTTTTCTTTTGTGCAAGGAAGTAACATAGATGGAAAGGATGGTGAGGTATGCACAAGTATAATCATCAAATTGTTTTTCCAACAAGGCTTTTTGTTAACGTACAACACAGTACCTGAGAATCACGACATTACTGTATAACTACAGACTACAACACGAACAAGGGAAATCGGTAATAGAATTATTTTAATTTACCAGCATTCCAATTTGTAAAAAGTGTTGGTGAGTATATAATTACTTAAGCTAATATATAAAATTAACAAACTTGACTTCTAAATAAGTTACATTATTTATAAATAAATGCACAGTGTAATATGTTAAATAGTTTCCTTATTTTAGTAAACCTTGATGATTTCCTTACTTTGAGTTCTCCTTTTTCATTTATTAACAGATTTTGAGGCTTCAGATCCCTATGCAGGATTCTTCGTTTGTGACAGTAGTCTAAACCTCGAAGCAATTGGAATAGGAATAACTGCAAACAACAAATACACTCATAAAATTTAAGTCAACATTTGTTTTGGGCCTACAAAGTAATTACATATATGATATAGTTTAATTTACTGTTTTTGATTTATTTAGACATATATCTTTTCATATAGCAAATAGCTATAAAAAGAGGCTGAATTTAGGATTAACAAAAATATTTAACATCTATTTTCATAATTTATCTTGATTTTCAATAAAAAGAAGTAAATGATTCTTTTAAGTTAGTGTATACCATCAAACAATATTTCACATTTTTAATACACAAGAACATATGAGATAAACATCCTAGGTTAGCTATCTCAAATAGAAAATGGTTGTTTAAACGTAACAGTTTACATTTGTAGCAATTGATGAAATATTGATGAATTTGCTTTAAGACCTAAATACCTTTTTAAATCATAAAAATATTGATTTTTTAAATACCTTCGAAATTGATATGGATAAAATTAACCAAGATGTAATTGGTTTTAAGGTAAGCCTAACAGGGACATAGCTTGAGTATGTGGCGCCCTTGGCGAATAGTACTGGGCTGCGCCCCCAAGCGCCGTCTGGGGGGCCAACCCCCCAGCAAGGGTCCCCATGGAAGTTTGTTACAATTTTGGGTGCTAGATGGTAAGTTTTGCATGTTTTACAAAGTTTTTTACAAATATCTCAAAGGTATTTTAAATGGTAAGATTTGTGTGTTTTAGCTAGTTTAAAAAAAAAATATCTCTAATTGGTTTTTTTTAGGTAGCATAGCTGTTGAATATATGGCCACGACGACTATTTAAGAGCCTTCAGTAGTGCCGCGATATAATTTTGTTGTCAAAATAAAGGTATGACTTTCTCTAGGGAAATGACTTTTTATTTTTTTGAAAACAAACTCTAATTTTCCGTTAACAAATGAAAAAATAAACACTTTTTTGGTAAGTTTATAATTTTTTTACAGACAATTAAAGTTTGTTTTAAAAATCATAAAAAGGAATTTCCCTAGCGAACAGTCGTACCTTTAATTTGACACCAAAATTGAAGGCATTAAGCAATCAAAAGTTTAACATTATGGGACTACATATCATCAAGGTCGCGGCACTGTTGAAGACAAGACACTTAAGCCTTAAAAGTCAATTTACTTACGAAAAATATACATAAGCCTATAACTGAAAGTTGTTTGCAGCCTCATCTTCAGCGTGATATGCATTTAATAGTATGTATAGTTTGAACCGGTACAACAGTGTTTAATAATTTTTTAACGGGTTGGCTGTCTTATTGTCTGTTAAGATTAATAACAACACAAAAACAAATAAAAACTTCATAAGCAATTTAATTTCAAAAGGCATTGAAAAACAGTGTTAATGTAAACATAAACAATAAAGCAGTCTGGTACCAGGTTATGTTAAACCGCTTGGGCACCTCGTTGTCACTACTACTACTATCTTTTGCTTTAAAGACAAAAGTGCTGCGGCCCTGACAACTATCGACCATCCCACCAAAAAATGTTTACTGCCTTGCAGTTCACAGTGAAGTAAGGCGGCAGGCACATATGCGCTCCGCTCCCTCCCATAATTATATTATTCTACGTGACGAAGTATATGGACGTAGAAACGTCAGAAAATATATTTATTCCTTTTTTAATTCTAGTAAGTAGCCTACCACTATTCCATTAAAACTATGGATAAAAACATATTTTTAATTATTCTTACAATTATTAAAAAGCCAATTTTGTGCCTCTATGCTTCCTGGGCCCTTGGCAGGGGCCTCTGCCGCCAATGCCTTGCTACCTCCCTGAAGCCTAATAATAATAATAAATATATTTTAAAAAATGTTACCTTAACATTGTTCATGCTGAGAATGTTGCTACAGTCTTCCATGTACTGCTTTAAGTCTTTGTCTAAATATTCAAAAACTAGAGTCAATGACTTTTCTGTGTGAACAATGTCATGTAATGTCACTGAAACAAATAAAGCGAATTTTAAATTAATCACAGTATACTATACATGAGGTTGAATATGGTTACCAAAGTAATCCTTGGTCGGCAAATGGCCACCTACCAAGACCATCCATTCACAAACCCAACTCTGCATTTGTCGATCATCTGATTAAAATGACAAAACCATTGACATACAGTAGCCTAATACATTTCCATAAAAAAGAGTTAGTTTTCAGTTTTCTGGATACCATTGAAGAGTTTGATTTTCAAGGCTGGCAAGAAATGTCCCCAACATATTCCCAATGAAAAAACACTGTTTGAAACAAAAATAACGTACGACACAGCCTCATTCACAAAGAAGCTATCACAAGATAATGTAGCTGACAACAACAATGCTGGTACCATTTGAGGATATGGTGACGGTCAGTCTAGACGTACACCCTGAACCCACAGCTGTTCTGTGATAATTAGTTGTCGTACTGTATACCCACTTTATTAATTCAAGTAGTTTAACTTTATTAACTACTTCATTATTTCATAACATAATATACACAACTATGCCAGTATACATTAAACTAGTAAGAGTTTAAAAGTTAGTCAGACATACCTATGTTGGCATGTTTCAGGTCCTTGAGCAATGACACTTCACGTATTGCTGTGCATGGGGCCCCCTCTTCATGTTCTAGCCTTATCTCTTTCAGTGCCACCAAGTTGTCTGTTAGCCTAGATTTTCCTTTAAATACTGTTGCGTATGTACCCTGTAGTAAAAACAATCAATAGTTAGTAAATTTGATACGGTACCTACAGGAATTTTTAAAATAATTGAGTCTCAGCTCGCAGTAATTCTATTCAATTTTATTGGTTGCCTGATATGATTTAAACTATGTTAACAGACCAAATGCTGCTATAGAACAGAATATATAGTTTACAAAATATACTGACTATCTTTGTCAGCAACGTAAGCAACCAATTACAGATTGTTCCATCCCAGACTGTATTGGCAGCATTAAATGTACTTTACCACACTAATTCCTTTTCATCAGCCTTAGTACTACGGTAAATCGGGTACTAACAGGACAGTAATATTGAAAAGGCTAGTACTTATATTAGGCTAAATTCATTTTAAAAGGTTAAGTTAACTTCAGTTCCCTCTCGGTTTCCAGCCATTGTATTTTTGATGAACCACGATGTATAATCTTCCTAATTACTAATAATACCCATTGTCAGGCCAGAAAATAAAAATATTCGCTTATCAGGAAACCTGCACGCTAAGTGAACTCCCAGTTTACTAATTGAATTCTATTAAAACGGGCCTACAACAAAAGGGAATGTACACTATATCCACAACCAATACAAAATACCCCTGCTGCAGCAAACCTGTAAACTTATCGAATTTCTATTTACCTGTTTGGATTTTCACTTAAATAATTCCTCAAATATGTCGGATTCATTTCCTATTTAAATAACAATAGAGTACGATACTTAGATTTGCTGCTTCAGGGAAATTAATAAGGTGTGTTTTTTAGTGAAATGTTTATAGCTTAGAGTAAAATAAATAAATAAACAAGGGAACTACTGTACAACATTTTACATATTCTCCATAAGAAAATAATGGGCTTTTAAAATGTAGGCCTATGGACTTTTATGGAATTGTCTCCATAGGCATTAAACCTACTATAATTATTTACAACTAAATTTGAACTAAAATATTTGTTTTTAAGCACTACAAAATGGTTTGGAAATATATTGTTATTGTAAAATTTTATGTTCTGAGAGTGGAAAATGGAAAAATTACATTTTTAACCCATAAACCTTGTTCCCATAGAATATGATCATGCTGGTTGACTTGTTTGAAAAAAATAGGTTAACACTATTGTAGCAAATTTATTCAAAATTGGATGATTTTTACTCACGTTATTGTGGTAACGGACTCACATACATAAATATAAATATTTATATATGAATTTGAACGGATGGTGTTTTAGGCCTCTGTGGACATCAAAACGAAAAAGTATATATGTAATTGGTCCCGGGTCCGGGTCTTACCATAAGATCCACAATATTAGCTTATTTTACATATGGAAAATTCGGTATAACATTGGCTAAATGAGTTCTTGGGCTTATTGCAACAAGGAACATAAAACATTGTTTTTTGGAGTATATTTAAGCTAAAAAATAAAAATTGAGAAAAATTATGTTATGATATAAAATGTGTAGATAAGGCTAACAGTGTACTGCATTTAACATTAATATTTTAATAACCAGTAACACAGAGAAGTAAGAAAGAGAGGATGCATTCAATGGTACACTAACAGTTGTCTAGCAACAGTCGCTGATGTCTAGAGCAAATTCTATTCGTCTTCCCCTCTAGCTCTCCTTTCCTCCCTCACCTACAAGTACTATGAGCAAGAGTGCTGTACGAAGACAGTGTGCGCTACAACTGCTCAACTGATGTACAACATTGCTATGTAGTCATCGCGGTTCAGGCTCTTCCTTGCTCGGTACAAGTACATTTCTGCCCCAACATACCAGAGCTAAAAGCGCACGGTTGTCCCATAAGCTTGTATCCTCTGTATCTTACAACTCGTAAGATCGGTAGGCAAAGCATAATAATAAAACATCCCGAATAACATTATTGTTTATCTTGTAAAAGTTAGTGTATGAAATTCTGAGCAAACAAAGCAAAATCTTATTTTAAGGGAGCAGCTTTAAAAAAAAAAATTAAGAAAATTTAGCCTTTTAAATATAATTTACAGGTATATTGAGCCTACTAACAGGACATATATGAATATATGAGGTAAATATATCAAATATAATATAGGCGTTGGTCCAATAACAGGGTGTCCACCAGGCCAACCGGAAAAAATTCATGAGTAATTCCAGGTAGTTCAGGTCGTACTTTTCATACCAAACTTTCAAACCCATTTTCACTCCAACTCCCGCAATGCTATTGTAGAGTCAACACAGTTTGCTATTTTACTATCTTAAAAAGCCTATTCAGTTAAAGGGACAAAATTTGTAATTACTGTTATATTTCTTGACACAAGTATGCAATTTTTGAATATTTCTCTGATTAAGAAAAAAATTACCAAGTGACAAAGAACAGATTTTTGGCTATTTTAAAACTGTATAGAGTTTTAAGGCCTGATATGGTTATCAGTCGAACATCAGTTTAGCTTTAATAATCATAAATTTTGTAATGTGCAACTAACAAAAAGTCACCATGACTATAATCTGTGATCAGACCACAGCACCATTGTGTGAGCATCTACTGCATTCACGGCACCCTCATCAACATGTCCAGCGTTTGTAGTGCCTTCGTCACACATTCCGATTCCGCAGTGCCATCAAACACATATCTTGCGGACATGGCACCGTTGTTGACATGCCCTACATTCACGACACTATCGTCGATGTCTCGCAGTCACTGCGACATTGTCAACATATTTTGCGGTAACAATGCCATCGTGAACTTGTCCCACAGTCACAGCACCATCGTCAACATGTCTCGCAGTCACAGTACCTTCCTCAACATGTCTTGCTGTCAGGGCCCCTTCGTTGACATGTCCTGCATTTACGGCACCAATTTTGACATGACTTTCAGACACAGCTCGATTGTTGACATGTATCGCGTTCGCGACACAATCTAAAACATCTACCATGATTACGGAGACATTGTCATCGCCTCCTGGGTTCATGGAAGTGTCATCACATCTGTCGCAACGGCGGAGACATCATAATCATCATCACCCGCCATACCGGAGATATGTCCCGGGATAACGGAAACGGCATCATCATCACTTGCCACATGGCATAATTGACGACAATCGAATACTTTTTTCCTGAAATTTGGACCCCTGCATCTCTTATTATAAAAAATTAAATTTACAGTGAATATCAAATTTTAAAATTCTTAGTAGAAATAGAAAATTTACACATAATTTCCAGGTTTTTCCCAGTTTAAAGAATTTATGCACATTTCTCGGTTTTCCCAGATTTCCCGGTCGGTGATCAGCCCGAATCGTATTCGTTGTTCTATCGTTGCTTTATATGCATCAGCACTGTTGTTGAGTACCAACACCACTTAATAAGTAATTCACCATCCTTGTTTAAATTTTGTCATTTGCTTTTTATTATTAGTTTAGCATAGTTTAGTATTCTCTTTTCTATTTCATATTTATTTATCCCTGTAAGAATACAATTATAAATTGCTGAGGAAAAATAAATAAATAATAGGCATGGATGGTATAAAAAATGGCATAGATGGTATCACAGTGTTCTTGTTCAATTTTTAGCATGAGTAGGCTACAACAGCATCCCACTAAATAACCAATCTGTGATCTAATGATTGGTTTGGATTAGCTTGTTATTTGAGAAAAGTTTGGGAGCATTTTAAACAGTATAAAGCTGATCCCAATGATATTACAGTTTAAGGCTACATGCATGGCTGTTTATTATTGATAGAAATTGAGTGCAACCTTACTTGGCCTAACTTGTTCAGCTTTGTGTACGTCTCCATGCGACCAAAGCCAATTTCTGAGAGAGATTGTCGGCGAGATGCTCGACTAAGAGGCCGATCAACTGTGCAAGGGCTGACATTTTGCTTCTCTTCTGGCAAATGAAGGTCTGCGGGTAGCGAAAGTCGCTTATTGATATTCTGAAACACACAAACCTTTTACTGTGGAAGTTAAAATTTGCATCAAATACCAACATCAGCAATCTGGTGAATACAGTAGATATACTGTAGACATACTGTAGTATTATCAAAATCTCCAATTACCCAAATCGATACAGTGGAACCTTGATAACAAGACCCTCGATAACAAGTCACCCTTTATAACAAGTGTCATTTTCTAATCCCCTTGAATTTTATCTTACCCCTTTATATATTATTGTAAACCTCGATAAGAAGTCAACCTTGATAACAAGTGTTATTTAATAATCCTCATGAGAGTCTTCTTATCGAGGTTCTACTTTAGTAAAATAATAGAAAATAACCTCGCCACAGAACCCTTGCAGACTAAGCTAATTTCAGTTTGTCAGATTGGATTTTCATTAAAATATTTTTTTTGAACATGTCAGATTCATTTCCTTAAATCGGGAGTAAATCTGGCATGTTTAAGGAAATACTTAAGTCGAAATCCATCACATCAAGTGAATAGAATTTTGCTTAGTCCGTGGGTTTTCTGCAGCCAGAGTATTTAAATCTATGCGGTGATGCTTAGTTCAATAATCCTGACAATTAGAATTTAGTCAAATCCAAATAGGCCAGATCACAAATCATTTAGGATATTAGGAGTTCTACTGTATCTTCTTTACAATCTTAAAATTTAATCCAAATTTTGGTGCATGTCAAACATTTTTCTGTTGACCTTTTCACAAGAACAATTTTTTAAGTGGTGTATAGTTATGATTCAAAGAGATTCCAAAACTTGATGTGTTAATGTCAGGTGATTTATAACGGAAGGCTTTAAGGTAGCATGGAAGCCATTTCTGCGGGGGGGGGGGGGCAGTGATCAGAGATTGATAGGCCTTGACTGTCCAAGGACCACAAGAAAGCACAGGACAGCGGAATATAAATATTACCCAGCTTTCTCCATACAAAACATTTTAAAAGGACCCTTGCAAGATGGAGGAGACATCAAACTAACATTTTGTGAACTTCCTGAGTGTCACAAATATTGAAGGGCCACCGTCTTTGCCTATGTTTGGAGGACCATTGAGTATATCCACAGAGCATCGATGGTGTCAGATATAGGGTTTCTGAACCTAAACAGGCTTAAACTAGCCATGATAGATGTTAAGAATAGCGGGGTATCCTCTCTTGGTTCCTGTGAGTTTAAAGCAAGAAATTGTCCTTAATATGTCTTTCCTATGTCTTGAAAATGTTTACAGTTTAAGTAAAAATGAGTAAGTGAATAGTGTTGGAAAACGGTTGTATTTTATTAAATTCTAAGAATAAAGTATTCTTTAACAGAAGTTCTGCATTTATTTGAAACTACAGCACAAATTGTCACAGAAAATGTTTTTTTTACAAAATGGATCTAAAACATTGTGGAACCTCAGGATTAATGAATTTTAAATTTAAATACCGCCGCTACAGCAAACCTGCAGGTTAAGGGTATTTCCATTTACCAGATTCGATTTTCAATTAAAACTATTTAAATAACATGAGGTTTAACAGGTGCATAGGTTAGCTGCTACAGGGAGGGTAATAAAGTGTGTTTTTAGTAAAATATGAATAGCTTAGTATGAAATAAGATTTGCCAAGTTTTATCAAAATATATCCATAAACAAGCAAACTTTACAACACAGTTGACTTATTCTCCATAAGAGTAACATGGGAATTTAAAATTTAAAATTTATTGAATTTTCTCTGTAACCAATGGCTGTAAACACTTCAATTTGCTACATTATTTGTTTTTAAGCTCTTTAAAAAGGTTTAAAGATAAATTGGAAAATTTTATGTTTTGAGGGTCAAAAATGAGAAAAACCAATTTTTACCCTATAACACCCTATTCCCATAGTCTGATCATATTGGTTTGCGAACTCATTCAAGTAGTTTTAAACCTTTAAGCCTTTTATCAAAATCGGACAAAAATTACTCAAGTTATTGTGTTCACGGACATATACATATACCGTGCCACCTACGGTAATAGCTAATTCCCTATACGGAAATCCGCTAAAAAGCCTTCCGAGTAAATGCAAGCAATAGTCATTATCAAAAGTAGATAATTATGACTCATTAACATGATGTAATCTTTATTACTCACAGTCAACTTTAATGCACTAAAGGTGCTTTGAAAATGTAAATATATCTTTTTCTACCAGAATATTTCAATCGTTTGAAAGTTCAGATACAATTTACATAACTGATTACGGTATAATATGTTTCTTCAAAATCAAATCAATTCAACAATCTAAAAGCCATAGTACTAGATACAGATAAACAATTAAAATAAATCAGACTTTTAGACCTTAATATAATCGAATAAAGAAATTAAAACCTACTTGAATTACTTAAATAACAATTTCCTACTTAAAGTATAACAAGAGAAAAAACCTACTTCCAATAATCATGAAATTAATTAGAAGTTCATACTATATATTAGAAAATTACTTGATTCATCATCACCTGTGCTAGTCTGCCAAAAACTGCATTCCAATGAAACTACATAGCATTCCAGAACATCATCACATACTTTCAGAAAAAGTTATCATTTTTCCATTAAGTAAGTAGCTAAATTAAGTGAGCTTGGTACAATGTAAATCATTACCTATTCATTCAAAGTTTACATTTAACTAATTATAATCAAAATGTCAAACAAAATATACTTTTGAGGTTAGAATGAAATGAAACCTTGTTTAAACTAGTACAATATGTCTAACCGTTATTCATGCTACTTAAGATTAATTATATATCTTTTTCATTTAGTAAACGGAAAAATAAAATGATAACTACGCATATTACCATATTATACCAACAGCTATCTCAGCAACTACTAGCATTGGATTTTAAATAGTTTACTGAGCCCAGTGCATGACATAACTCAGGGGAATAAAATTAGCGTGTTATCTTTTATCTAAGCTTCTTGCAGTGGTTATCAAAATAAAACTCTATTGTTCTAAATTTATACAACCGTCGTTTATTATGCTCTCATGAGACTTAAAATTGTCATTTAACTTGTCTTTTAGCTTAGTAGACACATTGAACTTCACTTGAACAAATAATGAATGTTTAAATCAGAGGTAAATTTGCCAAAGTAACGTTTGATACAACATTTTTTGTCCTGCTAACTAATTACCTGAGTTGATAAAATAATAGTTTATGGAAACATTGTGTTAACACAAGTAATATGTTATACCACAGGTGTAATGGCAAAAGAGTTTGTCTACACAAGTTTAGTTTATCTTTTCCAAACAAATACACTAAATGTGTAAATGACAATACTGTTCCCGGCAATGTTGATTGTTCTAATTTTTTAATAGACTTCAGTAAAAAAGATTTTTTGGAATAAAAAAAATTAAAAGGCAAAATTTACAAATATCTTCAAAAGCTTTGATTTGAGAAAGGGAAAAATGAATGCCTATTTTTTCCTCCTGCCAATTTAATAAGGGTCAGTCATCATTACAAAGCTGCAATTGCTTCGCACTTCAAGTATTTTCAAGTATATTCAAGTATTGCTATAGGTAAGTTACTTTTTCAAGTATTTTTAACTTAAAAATGTCATATTTATTTTTGAATATATTATAAACGTGAAAGTTTGTGTGTTTGGGGTTCAATCACGCATTGACAGGGTGTATACAATATCTGGTTTCAAAAATTCAAGGAGTTTTCTAGGAGAATTCAAGACAAATTGCAGAATTTTAAGAACTACTAGATCCAAACTTTAAAGCTTTATATTAACTCAAACTTTTAAAGATTTGAAAAAGAAATCATCATTTTTATTAGTTAATGCACTTAACTAATGTAAATAATGTATATTTAAAATATGTACAATACTTCAAAAATAGCAAGTTAGAAATTGTATTGATAATATTTTTAATAACTGGTAAGTTAGGCACTATAACTTTAAAAGAAAACTCGTCCAAGGAATAATAGTTTATACAATATATTAAAACAGAATTAATAACAGTAAGTCGACACCGATAATAGTCTCCCGCGATCGCGGCGATACCTGTGAACATGAATTTAGGTTTCGGCGACACAGATAATTGTTTACCGCGATCGCAGGCAATACCTGTAAACATATATTGCAGTTTCAGCGACACCGATAATCGTTTCCCGCGATCGTGATACCAGCAGTAGTCTTTTGTTAATCAACGTTTCTGATGACAGGGCTCCGGATTCCCGGAGGTTTGGGTTAATTCCTGGAGTTTTCCAGGATATTTCAAGATAAAATTCCTGAAAGTTTCCCAGTTTTCCCAAAATTTCCCGGAGTGTAGATACCATGATTAACCACTGGTCAGATTGGTTTGAAATTTGGCATGATGATAGCTCACATTCTCAATTATCATACATATAGGCCTATTCTTATCTCAAAAATCCTTTTGGGTTCCGCCCCAGTGGCTCTGTAGATTCCCATGTTACCTAATGAGTATTCATATTTAAAAGGAATTGTGTCAGATGTTTCAACTAAACAAGTTGGTTCTATGATATTCAATAGCATTAAAAGTTATAAGGTTTAAAAACAGGGTGCAGCACAATTAATTTTTTTGCATTTATAAGAATAGCTAATTTAAACTAAGCAGAAACAAAAACAGTGATACACATACACAATGAGAACTGTTAAAGTAGGATCGTTTACAGTTATGTTTATGTTTTTAATTTAATAAATAATTTGTGATATTGTGCGAATTTTTGATGATTTACTTTTTTCAATTGTTTAGGTGCAGTGGTAGAACATTATGGCTATGGTAGATGTGTTATACTATAGCATACTGTAAATTTATAGAATTAAATTTTCTCAACCCTTGTTTTATTACGAAGGACGGGTACTCTGCTAGTTATTACATATGTTTAAGATATTAAAAAGTATATCAGCTTAAATCTCACCTCACTCAATCTTCTGCTTTTAGGACGCAGCTTTACTGGTGATGTAACATCATCAGAAACTTCTTCCGACTCACCATCAGATCCAATCCGTGGATTTTCTGGTACAACACCTGAAAATTAATTCAAAACAATAAAAAACCAACTACCGAACAGTTAACAACGTAAACAATATAAAACATGAGCACCAAATCCGATTAGATTTCATATTATGAGGAGTAGAAGTAGCTGTAGTAGGTAACCAAACAGCACATTCTTAATCATAACCAATTGATGTTGTTATCTGCACCAAGTGACTTTATGTGTTTAATAGTATATTTCCTCCAAAAACACCACAAAGCTGCATTTAATAATTATGTTTTATGTTAAACAACCTATAATTTATTTTCTTAACTTGTGTAAATCATCACAAACATAGCTCAGTAGACAATGTTCTGTAGGTTATTCTTGGCTAATTTTAACTAATAGTGCCTGGTAAATGGTGGGCTGGGGGGTATTTTGTTTTTCGGGGGGTAAAAATTATTTAAAGCATACATATTTAAGATTTCCAACAGATGTTTGTTTTCAATAAAAAACAATGATATTATAGAGAATACTGTCCTGAAATATGTAATGAAATAAATTTCATAAAAACATTTGATCAATTTTAAGTATTGGTGCTATTTATACAAAATTTTATTAAACATTTTCTCATTTTAAGTCATTAAAACCATACTTTCACATTCACAAAAAATGCTAAATAAAAATATCATCATTAGAAATGAGCATAGACCTACCAATAGAAATAGCATGTGAAATGGCTGTCTCAAACTTTCATAAAAATAAAAATATCATCATAACTGTCTTTCCATCATTAATGTTGGTAAAACAATGAGCATTTATTTAAAAGTATAACTTATATTTAATTACTAAGGCATTTAGATGTTTAGTGGTGATAAATTTAAAGTTATTGGACACTTAGTCATTGGGTTTAAATTAAAAAAAAATTGGAATGGGGTTTTCTTGTAAAATCAATTTTAAATTGTGAAATTTTAGCAAAAAGTATTTTAATGGTCCTTGAAGGTATTCCAATGTAGTGTTAGTTTTGAGATCACATAGTTAAACCATTTTTACTTTTTTAGCATAACATAAACAGTTCAAAAGCTATTTTCATAGTCTAATACAGTACTATATAGGGCTTACGAGTAAAGATAAGTTGTTTCCTAAATTTCCAATTTTTAGTTAAGTTAGTAACTTTTTCGTTTCTTAAACAAACTCTCCATTGAAAGCTGTGCTATTACACAAGGCTTAATGTTATTATTTTTAATCTCATACCAGATTCTTTGGTGTAATAAGCCTACATTTTGAATAAGCCTACTCTAAGATATGGTTTTAAGCTATCATATATTTTCAAGGGCTTTCAAGAAAACAAATATCATAGTCTTGTCTATCAACAAATGTCAACAGTCGACAGTCTGTTCCCGGTCGTGTAACGGCAATGTTTCGTTCCCATGATAGGCCTATCCAACCAAAAGTATTGTTTATTTATGTGTCGTGTGTTAAGTGTCATGTGTGTAAACCAACAACGAAGCTATAGAAGTGGATTTTTTAATGTACATTCCTGGACTGTATGCTTGACATGCGGAATGTCACACCTATGGGATCGTGGAACATTGTGCCCACGTCAGCAGCGCATTGTCAAAAACTATGTATGTAATTGCCTCGAAAACTATAAAACAGCCATTGCTCTTCCTAAAGACTCTTAGTTCAATATCAGTGTGATGTTTTTCGGTAAAAGATTCTTTGTATTTGAACGGTCGTATTTATCCCTTTGCTAAGTAATACATTTAGCACTTTGCTTAAGTGTATTATATAATCAATGCTTAAACAGTATTAATAGGAATGTTCTTTTCTTTTGTACTGATTTTGTAGTTTTCTAATATACTGTAGATGGTTTGTTATAACAATATATTATTTTAGTATTTTGTTTACATTTTTCTTGTTGATTCGTAAAACCGTCTTGGCTACTTGGCAAGATTAAAACTAAGGTATTTTAACAATAATTTAGAAGAAATCGTTGTAGCCATTTTCGAAAACATTGTGCGTGCAAACGTTACTTGTAATATAGTATAAGATTAAGATATTTACTATAAGCTAGGTATCAAATTATGTTCACGTATAAGGTACTGGTAGTACAATTGTAATGGAATAATTTTCTTTTCTTATTCACATAATATATACTGACTGTACCATTTCAAATTGAGTTTTCCTTTTCCCATCTCGTTAAATAAAAGAGGAATATACATTGAACAGTTTATTATGACAAGTGTCATATACACATGTATAATTTCTAAAAAATCAAATATTTATCTAAATACACAAAACAATTAATTATCTAAGGAGATACAACACAAGCATAGTTAGGTTATGGGGAGGCTAGTAGAAATTGTAATTGAAATTATTGCAGTATTTGGTTGTTGGCTATTTGGACAATGTGTCACAACTGCAAAGATTTTACAGAAATTTCCATGTTACTTCTTAACTAAGTTAAGGCCTAATGTAAAATGTGAAAGAGGATTTTGGACCAGGTCAAATTTTGACTGGATTTTTTACAATGTGAACTCTGACAGCAACTTTAGCCTAAAATCTAGTTCTCATTGAGCTACCTATCAAATGTCTTTATCCGAAAATGTATCAATACAAAAAACTACCTGATATACATACTACTGGGTGTTTGTTAGTGAAAGTAACTAACTAGCTAGTAGTAACTAATTTGTGTAATTCTGTTGGTAATTACCTAACACAGTAACAAGTACAATTGAAAATTACAACTTACTTAAACAAGGATGAAACATAAACCGGAAAATCGCAGCACAAGTAAATTTTGGACTTGGTTTCTTGGTCATGGTGTCAACTAATTGAGTAAATGTAGACAGACTGACAGATTGGTGATAATCCTATCTCTGCCACTTATATCAATAATTTATCAATGACAAATGGGTGTCACCTGGTATTTTGAGAGCATTAGAAGGTTCAATAGCAGAGGTGTATGATTATTATTCTTTGAAAAGGACATGTTGCCATTTTATAAATATCAGTGTAAATATGAAAAAAAACTTAAATACTGACGAAATGTATAACTAAATTTAAATATTCAACAAGGCCAATATGTTGAACATTTAAATTTAGTTATACATATCATTATTCATTGCCAATATATCCAATATAAGGTATTAAATAATTACAATGAAAATTCTTACTTTTGAGGTTGAGAAAAATGAATTTTCATTGTAATGTCTAAGAGTCATTGAAATTAAATTTGGTACTAACAGTTTCAAACTATTAACTTAAGTCTTTAAGTTTGAATAAGCAAGGTTCTTTTTAGAAATGCATACAAAATAGAGATTATATGCTGATAAGAAAACAAGAGTTCTATAACACATTTACACTTTTCAACACCAGTTAGTCAATTGATGTTATCTTATGGTTGTGAATTTGTGTTAATAATATATGCTTGGGACTTAACAGGCTATGGTGGTTTGCTTTATTATTCCTCAAGTTTAATAGTTACCTCATAGATAGTTTTTGTTCTATTTGATTGTAATTAACCTTGATAAGTATTCATCAATGTGAAAGTCTTGCAGCAAAGACTTTTGGCTACCATTTACTGACATCAAAGGTCTATTCTAAATGTTTGACTGTTCTACAAACTATATATTGAGTTACGTAGAGGAGCAGGAATGGGTGGGAACAGTGTCCTCACTCTGATTTCCCAAAGAACCTATATATTAATAATAGGCAACTGTCTACAATATTGGTGAACATTCCTACACTAGAAAATTTACGACTACATCACTGAGTATATTTCATGAACTAAATTTTAGGTGCATCGTGATTAACCCTCCGAGTGTTATTTGTCGATGCTTCGACAAATAACACACTTTGTGTAGTGTTTTGTGTCGATGCATCGACTCACAAACACTGTTTACGGCAAAGGCTCTATGACTGACAAAATCGGATTGAACTGGATCGAGTTAGGTATCGTTTTATTTGGCAGATTCAGAGCTTTCTCTGGAGGTCTGTCTCTAAGCGCTTTTCATTTTAGTTCCGAAAATATTGTAGCAGACAGCTGACGTGCGTATTTGTAAACAGCTTGGTTAATGACTGATGTGTTTTATTACGTTTATCATTGTTTTAGTGTTAAAAATCAAAAGTAGTAATATACGTGGTGCATTATAAGAAGATTTAAGTGATTTTGAAGGGCTGGTTGATGATCCTGAAGAAGTAGGTAGTGATATTGATGTAAATTATCAGCCAGATTCCTAGCCAGGGTTAGGCTATGCATTCTTAGCTAAAAGCTATGTACTGAAATCTGTTTTTTGCCCATAACTTATTTATTTGCAAATCTACTTCCTTATATTATTATATATTTGTAATCCTCATACAATTTAGAACAAAGTGGCTATTTTCAAATATTTATAGGCCTATAATTTATAAAATTTCATTGAGCGTGAACTTATTTTTTTTTTGAAAATTTTCCAAAATATTTTTTTTTACCTAAAAAAATTTTTTGAAACAAATGTTCCTTATGTTTTATGTATAATATTGAAGCCCATGATTTTCCAAACAAAATGGTATATAGAACAGTATAATTAACATTGTTTTCAAGCTTCTCAGATCCGTTTTAATAAAACCTTGCAAATGAGCAAAAAATAGGCAGACATTAAGGCCAAAACAAGGGACACTCGGAGGGTTAACAATTCAAGCTAAAATGGTTAGTGTATTAATAATTTAAACAATTTAAAGGTAGCAAACTAAGCAGTTTTGTGAAGAATAAAGCAGCACTATGCTTATAATGATAACAGTTAAGGGTTATCTAGGTCATACATTTTTTATCTTAAAGGCCTTTGACAGAGCAAAAACCTTTGACTGATTACAAATACTGATGCTTGGTATAGTAATAATTACCGATAAAGTTTTATTACAGTTGATTAAACATTAAAAAATTAAAATGCTATTTGTGTACTTGCCTCACACTTAACCCAAAAAATTTTTTTGCCTGTGCGTAGACTGAGTACATAAAAATGTGTAAATGTGTGGGTAAATATGGATGGAATTAAAAAGCAATCTTTATAAATTATTTTTATTATAATTTAGTAGGCCTATAATTCTAATTTATTTAGGTAAATTTAAACTGATGATTGTTTTTGAACACCACTAAAAACATTAATCTTTATAAAAGTTATATGACATTTTTAATGCTTGGTACTAAGTTTGAATACGAAAGAAATATTGTAATGATGGACACATTAAACATTTTTTGTAATAATGGAAATATTATAAACGCACAAAGTCACAATTGTTTTCTAAGGCTTAATTGCTCTAGTTGACTCTCAAAGACAAGATACAGTAAGGAAGTGAAACGGCACGATTCCGTCATCTGTTGACGAAGAATAGAGGGCTATCAGAGTACAGGGGAAATTACCTTAGACGTCTCGACAAGTGAAAATTTCAGTAGCCACGGAGCGTTGGACGATTGCACAACGTGCATTTGCTGTAAAGGCATATTACATAAACGTTGATAGTGTAATTTGTGCTAGCGCACTTCCCGTTGTGAGTTCAGTCTATCGCCACGGGCTCCCGTGCCATCAAGGAAAGCTGTCCTCCTTTGGATAAATCACTTTGAAGCCACTGCTAGCACGAAAATGTGCTACAAAACAATTGCAGATGTTTTGCAAACGCTAAAAATTTCAAGGGTGGATTTCATCTCAGAATTCAACAGTGTGTGCAAAACCAAGGACGCCGTTTTATTGACACTGCATTAACCCTCTGAGGACTATGCATTTTATGACTTCGGATTAAGTTGTTTTTAGTGTTTTCTTACTCTCTATTTAAAAAAAAATTTAAATCTTAAGACTTATGCAAACCATAGCATATTGTATATTATTTTACTCAGCATAAAATTGTTTACAAGAAAACAATAGATAGTTAATTATTTGAAAAAAATCAAAATAAAATAAATTTTTCCATGAAAAAGATTTTTCCCCACCCCTAAAGTTTGCAATTCATTAAAATATATTAAATCCAGTTTATAAAAAAACTGAGATAGCCAATTTGTTGTATTACCAGCAAGAGCACTAGGACAAGTAGTTTACAACAGCTAAACTGAGACTATTATTTGGCCAATCAATATAAACTCTCTACCAACCTAAGTAAATTAATTGTCATCAGTCATGCAGGTTGCATCTACTGTCCTCTTGGACTGTGTGAAGGCGCTATAATCGGGCCGTATTAAGAGACAATGTGGCCCCCGGCCTAGGAGGATAAAACGTTAATGTTAATCTTCCTAGCCCCCGGGGGGTCACACCAGAGAGGGCCCTCCATGCTGATTCAACTAAATGAACTTGACAATTTCTTTACGATCATATCGGCAAATTAACCTAGTGGCTAAGGGCACTAGCTAATAAATAAATAATTTCATTCTTTCATTGATGCCATTATTTTCTTACTATTATGAGCCTGCACTTTAAATTTGTTTACTTCGAGTCAGGTAGAAAATGTTACTTACCTATGGACCTCAGGCAAAATCAGATCGGTTCAAAATTGGTTTGCTTGGGAAACGGTTGATTTTTATAATATAATGTCGATTTTCAAGCCGAGCAGAGGCTGGCCTACAAACTTGAGAGATCAAGCACAAAGTCAGAAAATCAAGCTCGAGCCGATTTTCTCAGTACTCAATACAATAATGCCCAATTAAAAGTAAAAGCTTTTATATACACGAGGATCTTGCTCACAAAATTGAAAGATTAGTCCTGAGACGCTTTTGCCGCGAATGTGGATATCGACATGAACATTTCCCTGCGGGTGACGATGACGATGTCCCCGCGGCCGCAGGAGATGTTCAATATTTTGCCAAGATTGCAGAAGACAATAATGACGTTTCTTTTTCCGCGATGTGGGAGAGGGATTGGGCCCTGAACGCAGGAGACGATGATGTTGTTATCTGATGATGTCATAGGTTTGGCTGCATTTGCAATCACGGTAGACTATGATAATGTTTCTTCCATGACTACGGGAAGTATTCACGATTTTGCCGCAATCATTGAAGACGATGATGACGCCTCGGGGCCTAAGGAGATGCTGTGTCAAGTTTAGGCGGTAATACATGTGATAATGTTATAAAACATCGTCAAAATCCACTGCTATCCATTTTTAAAACATTATTAATTCAGTACAAAAGACAAAACTAAACCTCAAAACAGCAGAAATAATACAACACAGCCGGCTTGTAAGCATAACAAACAGCAGACAGCTGACGGAATGTTGTCATCATCCCAAGCGATCGTATAGAGTAAAAGGTTACAAAACAGACATCGACAGAAAGCTTCTAGAGTCTGTTGTATAAGATTATACTATATTCAACGTAGTTTACGCTTGTTTACGCCGATTACGTTACGCTTGTTTGATCGACTAAAATGAGTCGACTCGTCCTCGGCCGGGTGTGAACATCGACTCAAATGAATCGACCAGTCCCAAGAGGATTTAAGGTGAAACATTAATTTTCACTCATATACCACTGTAATTTAGATACAAACAACTACCTTTTTTCAAAATAAATCAATTATTTGTGATTTTTCAAAGTTGTGCCGTTTCACTGCTTCACCCTGTATAATCTATAAAGGAAGTGCTAATATGCTAGTGATATGAGATTGAATAAGTGCGGCTCGATGACCAAGGTAATGAAGTTTGCCGCATCGATGTACTCCCCTGGATAGCACTGTGTGGTGGAAAAACGGGCCCACCATTCGAAATGGTGAGATACTGAGGCGGACAGGTTGAATGAACCTTTGTCTTTTACACAAACATACTTTTACTGAAACTGCACTGTTACACTTATTTTATAACATACAAATTTCAGACTTATATGGTATTTTCTGGAACAGTAATTATTAACAGTAATTATTAATATTAATTCGTTAACATCAACATGCTTTTTATAATTTATTTAGGCAAATTAAAACTATTAATTCGTTAACATCAACATGCTTTTTATAATTTATTTAGGCAAATTAAAACTGATGATCATTTTTAAACACCACTAAAAACATTAAAAGGGTTGTAAGCGAGGAACTTTTTTATTTTTGATGAGGAAAAAAATTCCTGCGGCAAAGTTTTAGATTTAAAACTTTGCTAATCTCTAATTATCTTAATCTTGATCTTTAAGTGTTATTTTTGCCAATGTTAAAATTTAAAAAAATTTTTTAAACAAAATCAGACTCTTTCATAACATTATCGGATATCCTTATGAGATTTACTTTTGACACAGTCTGTAAAGTGTGTGTAAGTACTTAGATTAATTGTATCTTCTTGTAAAACTTCCTTTAAACATTCCTTACAATCAATTTTCTTCTGAATATTACTACAAAACAAATATAGCAACAAACAGGAAGAGGGGGTGCAACACTCGGCACTAGGGTTTTTCATGCCTTTATCCCCACGCCTGGTGGACAGAGCGGGATGGCGGGTGGATTTTAGAGCAGTACTTCAACCTGAGCATGCAATCAAGGGAGTATTATAAAATGATGGCTCGCCACAGTGCGTGTGTGGGTTAGGGGCCGCAACTTTAGTAGTGTGCAAGTGTATTTACGATGTGTCCAGAATGGCTCGCATAATGACCCCGTGCTACCCGCCCGTCCAAACCACCTCCCACCCCCCAAAGCCATACCCCCAAAACGCAACTACCCCGAGGGTGATGAGGACTCTTAATTAAAAAGCCTGTTTGTAGTTCCAGTGATAAAATACTCAGTAGTCTTGATAGTATAGTACCAGATCAGATATATTTATTTATTGCTAAGAAGATATTTTACTAAAGAACCCTACCACAAAGTAATTCATTTATTTATCAAAAGTAAATCTTACATTTAGTTTTAGCTTGGTGTAGTTTGCAGATTCTTAGTGTTTAATTGCAGTACTTGTACCTACTTTGATTTGTATTTGGAATAAATGTGTTTTGAGTCAATTACCATGGGATTGTTATCTTGGGCATATTAGAGTCAACTCAATGGATTGGATTTTGGTGGCCAAGATATGTAAAACAGTACGTAATATGCTGATTAAAAGGTTATTTTAATTCAATTTTGTTTTATTTTCTTTTGCCATCCATCGTCACTAACAAACCTAACCCCACACACCACACAATCTTTTTTTATGTTACAGTATGTTATTTGCTTACCGGTTGTTAACGTACCGGCTCCGCAGCTGTGGTTAGTGTAGAAACGCCAACTATTAAATCAGCTGATATGGGCAGAAATGAGCTATTTTGTATTTTGTTTACAGGTGTGGCATGTGATAATTTCCATGCAGTGGTAGGAAATATAATAATTATTCAGATGTTGGGTGAGCTAATATTATAGCAATAAAAAAAAATGAATGCTACTTAGTAAAACAGTGTAATGTGTATTTTGAACAATCTTTTTAAGAAATATAAGTTAGGCTAATGTAACTTTGTCCTACATACTAACACACTAAATGTAGCCTACTAAGCCTAATAAGAATCTTTTGATTTGAAGAAAATTTTTATTTTTACGCCATATAAAATATATACAACTTACTATTTACAGATTAGCCTACTTACCTAACGTAATACTTTTTGAAGCCTTTCTTGTGCGTAGGCTTAAGGTGGCAAACCATGCTCCAATCTTGTGACTGCTACCAGTTGTGAATGAATTAAAGGTTGAGCTCTTTGTTAATGCTTTTATATCCATTTTAAATTATTTTCATGGCCAGAAAATCATACTTAAATGGTCTTCAACTTCTGAAACTAGGTATACCCTGTAACAACATAAGTTTAGATAGGCTAACTTTAAACACTATTTGAAATTGATCATTAAACTATCTAGTGTTTACATTCTTAATTTAACTTAGTACATTTATAGGCTTTGGCAAGGAGTAGAAAAGGCCAAGGTGAAATTATATATGAGGGAAAGAAAATGTTTACCGGTATATTCTGTTTTATAAAAAAAACCATAGTAGCCTTTGCTGCATTAGGCCGCGGCTCCACTTGCCGTAGATTACCGCGCTGCAAATTGTAGCTGGTCAGTTGAGGAAATGGGAAGGCAGCGATCAAACGAAGGTGGCTCCACTAGCGACAATCTGCAGCGCGCTACATTTTACGGCGCGCCGTAGAATGTAGGGTCGCGCGGGAATGGAACTCGGACCATTTTTGCACTACATTTTGCAGCTAACAGGCGGCTCCACTAGCTGTAGATTGTAGTGCCGCGTCAAGTCAGTGTACGTAGAAGACACACGTACAATCAATATAGACTTTTTAGTTTCCTTAGTTTTTTATTTTTGTGGATTGGTTTGTAATCAATGGAGCCTGAACTGGACTGTGAAATTATTATATTAGAAATTATTAAATTATTACATCGGGAGTGTGGGAATCTTGTTTTATAGAGGTTGTGTAGGGGTTTCCTGCTTTATATTATTAAGTAATACAGTAGTGATTGGAGAAACAAATACGTGAAAACATTCAATTTGTTTTTAAATGCAGCAGTCGTACAATTGTTATGATTATTAGCCCTATAAAAAGGTCCTAATGGCATAGACATAGACATAGACATAGACTTTATTTGCACAAAACATTCCATACATGTCATAACATTTAGGTACACATAGGTGCATTGGCTGTTTTAGATTATTATTAATAGGAACAACAAAAACTCACTAAACTCATTGATATTCACCTTACATTGGTTACTTAGAAATATTACTTCTGAGGGTAAATGAGTGTAATAAAATTAAAATAGAATAAAATTAGAGATAAAATGACCATTAAACTAGAGAAATTCGCCGCACCAAGGATTGTTGAAGCGAGGGTTCACTGTTTAAAATTAATTAGTTAAAATTCAGTACACTAAAATTACCTTAATGAAACTGAAAACATTTCCTCTACTCTAATTGGTTCTATTAGTTTGGTATCCTTCTTCTTCAAACGTGTTGATACTGATTCTATTAAGTAATCAAATGAGTTTTGGGACATTCGATAATATTCAAAAAACATGGCTGAATACTTTTGTAGTTTAGTATGCAATGTGTGGGACATCCCTTCGGACTTTCCGTTGCTTAATATTGGATGGTTCCACCATTTTCCTGCTGTGATCGGCGTCGTCTTGATGAAGTACACTGATAACATCACTATGAATGTTAATTTGCGGCATGATCAAGGACTACGTTTACCTCAGCGCTACACTAAACTGCTAGTGGAGCCACGGTGCATGTGAGGACGCTGCAGATTGTAGTTCGTACTCTGCTGCTAGTGGAGCCACCAACTGTCGTGTGTAGCGCACTACAATTTGCAGCGCGACAATTTACGGCAAGTGGAGCCGCAGCCTTAGTGTTTGAAGGACATAGTTGTATACAAAATATTAACAAGGAATAGCACAAGTTGCTAACAAGTCTTCAGTACAGTAATGCCAAATTAAGAGAAATGTCAATGACAAAAGCCAGGTAGATATGTCAATGTAAAAGAAGAATCAGGAATAGATCCCACTTAGGCTAATGGGTTAAGGACCCGGATAGTATTTGCTAACACAAGAGCGTCCCTAGGTAAAAGCTAACCTTACACTGGTGAATATGGTGTAGTATGGTAGGCCTAATGCCGCACTAACTGACCAGGCCACCGGTGCAGCTCCCAGGGATCTAAATAGACTCGAGGAAAGAGGCCTTTGTCTTTAAGTTTAAGTATGCTCTAATTAGTCTCACTCTGGTGTGCTTAAAACTAGGCCTATAGATATGTGGCTTACCTTTAAATCTTATAATTAAGTTACCAGAGCGCACCAAAGTATAAAAAAGTGGGGTACAGTTTCTTAACTGGGCTATGCTAATATCGATTGAAACTATCGAATTGAAAATATTGATTAATAATCGATATTTTTAAATATAACTTATTTATTATCAAATTAAACTATCATAACCTAACCTAACCAACCAAACTTGCTGATGGTGAATAAATCGCATGAAGGTTTACCAATCGAATCGATAGTTTCAATCGATATTAGCATAGCCCAGTTAAGAAACTGTACCCAAAAAGTGGGTTACAAGTAAGTTAGGCCTAGGTGTAGTGCAGTTTATACCTCATGTCATAGTAACTTAAGCAGCTTTATTTCAAATTCCAGCCCAACCAGGCTGAGTATCACCAATCCAAAATGAGAGGATTCTGGTGACAAACGCAAAACGTTTAAATTGTCAATAGGCTATGGTGCTTTTGGTTCATTTGGGAGACTTTAAAATCATCCTATGTGATTAGAGTGTATCTCCATTCAGTTAATTAAAGTAGGCCTAAGTAGCTATGGTGAGCATGAGGTAATTTATGAGGTCCTGATATTAAGTGCATATGCCTTAGTTTTACTCTTGAAGCTAAGGTAATTTTGTTCTAATCCCAAATTATTAGGCTTAACTTAGTTAGTCAAACGCTGAATGTAAACAACTAAAAAAAAAAAAAATAGATAGGCTAGGGCTAACCTATTTTTAAAGGTGTATTTTAGTTGGTCTTCTTAAAATATAACCGATTTTGGGCCTGAAACAATTGTCTTGATTTTCTATTCAATTAAGTTGGGAATCTTCAGTATAGGCAATACCTAAAGATGCAGATTGTGTAGGCTATAGACCTAGGCCTACCTCAAACTAAATTTTCTAAATGTTCTTAACATAATTAGGCTACAATCACATGGACCCACCTGTTTAAACAATTAAACGTGAAAATATTTGTTTTTGTTGAAGCTGACATTGACTTTACCACCAATCTCAGAGAAAACACACTTCGACAAACAAAATGCAACCATTGAGTAAATGCCTACTTCTCATGTTGGGGAGCACTTGTGGTGACAAATAAATTAGATAGTAGTGTAAATAATTTACACTGTATGTTCTTATCGAATTTGTTATTATTAATAATTTTAATTTCACATTTAGCAAAAAACAGAAGAGGAGATGAGGTAAAGTGCTGACAGAAACTTTTGGATTCAGACACTTCACTTACACTGACTGATTGACTCCGAATGACACTGACACAGACACAAACATAGGGGACAGGGAAGGTGGTTTGAACAAGAAGAAGTTGCAACTTAAATTGGTAGGAGGATATATATGTATATCCTATAATGGCATAGTTTATAATTAAATGAGAATTTATTCAATAATTTATACTCGTGAAAATGTGGCATAGCTAACTTATAAGAGAAATAGTTATTTGTGCAACTAGTGAGCAAAGGGAGCAATTGACTCACTCGAGTCGAGAGAAATACTTACTCACGAGCCGTAGGCGAGTATATAGATGGATATGAAGCAAGGGTCTACGTGAACAAACCCCGGACCATTCAGGAGTTGGAGGCTGCAATTCACAACGAAATCACATCAATTCCTGGTGATGTGCTTGAGCGAGCAATGCGGAAACTCAAGGACCGACTCCAAGAATACGTCGCTCGAGAAGGAAGGCATTTGATGGATGACATTTTTAAAAACTAACTTAACAATTTTTTTGTCAATAAACTTCCATTGTAACTACACGTTTTGCACTTTATTTCAATCCAATACCATTAAAATTGACCGTTCGACAAGTATTTTAAAACCACCCGATCCATCTGCGCCACCCTGTATTTGTAGATATAGGTAAACTAGAGGTTGTAGAGGTTGAATTATAGATCGGAAGTGACCTTGCCAACTAGGAAGCGTGCTGGAGGTGTTTTGGCTGGGTGCTTTGCACTCAGTATAGCTGTCGGGTCAATAAATAGGCCACTTGAGGTAGAGAAAGAGGTGAGTTGCCCGGGGCAAGGTGCCCAGGAGAGTTAGGTGAGTACTGGTTTCTCTATCTTGGGGCTAGGCCCTGTAGTCGGGAGTTTTGTACGGGAAGTTTTGATTTAAGGGGACTGTAAGTTAATTGGAGTTTTGTGATTTGAGTTGAAGGAATTCTTTTGGGTATAGATACTTTGGTTTGATTAGATTACTAGGGAATATTTTCGTTTCGTTTTTGGGGATTATAAATCTAAGATTCAAGCTGCCTCCAGAGCGGTTCCTACCCAGGCATTTGTCAGTAGGCTATAAGATAACTGTCACTGTATTAAACTTGATTACTTAAAGACAATTAAATATCCTGTTTGATGAACATGATCTGGTTCTCTTATTGAACAGCTACCCAGCTCATAGCATAAAGTAGAATAAGATTAAAGATTCGGGTTTGCTATAAAGCTACGCTCCCATGTGCGTATGCAGGATAACCTATTAAGAGTGGGGGGGGGGGTTCTGCATATCACACTACCTACCTATAATTAAAAAAGGTGGCATAACTTAGGTAACTCGCGGGGAGTATGTCATCTTGAATGAAACAGCAACAGAACAGCAGACTTATCCTCAGCATACAAATAAATTTCCGTACAATAGACCTTAAAACATCGTATGGGCTGATTTATAACTAACTCACAAGGAACTGTGTTCACACTGGGCTAGTGGGCTACTTTACAAGCTAGCTCACCCATGCTAGCGAGTATGCATGTTAGTACAAAAAAGTATCTTGTCGCATGTATTTCAATGTAAAATTAATGGTGTTTGCCGTAAAAGGAATATTAAATAAACGGCTGGTGATTTGATTTGATTTGGTGAATTCATTATGACCAATATTTATTTATTTATTTATTTATGGTATAACCATTTTACAATAATTTAAATATGCATTCATTTGCTCAAGATATTAAATATAAATAAACAATAACAATAATCAATACAATAGTAAACAACAGTAATAACAATAAATAATAATAATAATAAGATAAAAATTACAACAGTTGGTACAGTAATGCAATTTTCTTTTTCCTTTTAGTTGAAAAATATAAATCTATATGGAATGAAACAACATAGAAATTTGGACATTTAAAGAACAACAAACAATAATAACAACATCTAACAACCTACAAAGTTGTTGTATTTGTATATTCCGACGAGTGCGGTTGAGTATTCGTTCAAATGGAGCTTTTCCACTCGCTGGCAGCGTGTGTAGAAATACGTTTTGTCAATTGTTGTCCATAAGTTTAAACAAACTGCTGCTATTCAAACTGATCATCTGTAATTCCTTAACAATTGTTTACCTACATATAGGATAACCCTTGAGAAAAAAATAGTAAATTATTCAACGCAAAGCAAGGTGACCAGGCGCCTGACACCATTGACTATATAACACTACATAGTAGTGTTATATAGTCAATGCTGACACTCCTGTTTACTGGAGGCAAATGTATATCAACATGCGGAGATGCAACGTTGCCAAGCTGATGGATGCGAGCCATAGTGGACTGCTAGGCATAGTTGGTGCTATTCTAGTGGGAATTGTAGCTGTAGCAAAAGTTATTAAAAATTAGTTGATTAGACGGCAAGATGAGAAAAAGGAAATGGAGTAAGTGTGGATAAAATAGTGGGTAGAAAAACGATGGAACATCAAATCAAATACATTAACATTAAATTAAAAATCCTTTGAAATGAAATTAAAATCCTTTATTTCAACAGGCAAAGTTAGGGCCACATGGCCCTTTCTTACATTTAACCTGCATACATAATTATAAATATAAAGTAGAATACACAATTTAACACATTATTTACACAAAATCAATACTTTTTTGATAAAACGAAAACAAAGTGTCTAACAAAAAAAGTCTCAGACACTCAGTTACCAATTACGCAAGTGCCAAAACAGTCCTAGGACGCACCAGTCGAGGCCATACACTCAAAGTCAAAGTACATTTTTTTCAGAGCCACCACGAACCGAGGACGACATTATAGAAATACTTAAAGAATTACAGATGATCAGTTTGAATAGCAGCAGTTTGTTTAAACTTATGGACAACAATTGACAAAACGTATTTCTACACGCCGCCAGCGAGTGGAAAAGCTCCATTTGAACGAATACTAAACCGCACTCGTCGGAATATACAAATACAACAACTTTATAGGTTGTTAGATGTAGCTCGTAAACTCACCTCGTGTGAAGTGAAGCGATGAAGCCACGCGAATTCAAGTGACTAAACAATCAATCGATTTTTGGTGGTAGCTAGCGAAGCATCGCAAAAGGCGATAGCTGTGTGACGTCACTTTAGGTTTAAAAGTGAAATCAACTGAGGAATAGAGGAATAGAATAGAGCCATTGACTATATAACAATGATAGAGCTCACCGAACCAACCGCATTCACCACATCTCACATTTTGTCAGTCAGTGTGGTATTCGGTGGTATTGGGAATTGCGGAATTGGTATTTTAGCCTCCCTCATCTTAGGAGGCGAGGCTATGCTATGGCTATGGCTGTGGCTGGCTATGGTTGCGGGCAAGGGAGCTTACGAAAACGATGTTTAAGTGATGTCAATTTCCGATGTGGATACCGAGGATGTGTTGAGGTTGAGGGTATAAACTATTAATGTGATGTAGTGTAACCAATAAACTATGGATACTATAAATCAGTGCGAGATTCAGTCACTAATCGAGTATTTTTCAAAGACTATGTATCGAGCAAAATATGCTGACGACATTGTAAGTTCTGTCATACGAGTCCTTGAGTATATTCCACATGATTTAGGTTGAAATAGGTATTAATAATCCAAACAAAGTATGAGTTTTTTTATCATCATCACGACTATAGGGCCTAACAGTCATGTGAACAATGTTAAATACACATGTTTCAGTTTAAAAGTTAATGGTGCATTCAAGTTAACCTTCAAATTTGTGGTTGATCAGTAAAGTTAATCTCAGACTAATTTTTTGAGCCTGTTTTAAAAGCGCCTTTTGTAATTAGGCCTACATTTTGGTATAACATTTAATGAATGAATATCTCCCTTAGAGAGAAAGTTTTGCTTACCGGTATTTTAGAGGAAACCTATAACTTAGCCTATTCTTATTATTTAGCCACAGGAATCCAATGTTTGGCCAAGAAGCCTTGAACAAATTGGAAGAATGGTCTGGAGCATAGTCCTGATGAAGCCACCAAAGTTTGTCGCCTAATAATCGAGACGCTTGCGATGCACTGCGTCGTGAATGAACTTCTAAGTAGTTTGTCAGTAATTTTTTGTCCCTCAGGTATTCATCGTAAACTACTCCATTGCAGTAATTAAAACAAAAAAAGAAAACAGCATGATTTGATTTTGCTTTGAACTTGGCATGTTTTTTTGGCCGCGAAATGTTGAGTTTTTCCACTGAGAAGACTGCGCCTTGGTTTTAGGATCATACCCATACACCCACGACTCATCACAAGTTAAAACTCTTTTTTAAAAAGTTTGGGTCATCCTGAATGTATTCCAGCTTGTCTTGAGCAACTTCAACCCACAATTCGTTTTGTTCATCAGTCAAGTTTTTGGGACAAATTTTGCATTAACTCTGCACATAGCCAAATATTCTGTTAAAATTGAATTAGCTTAACTGAACCAATACTGATTCCAACTTCAGGAACACAAGGCCTAATTCGTCGATCCTCCATCACTAAAACTCGAACCACTTGATTGATAACTTCATAGTTTTGACTTGTTAATGGTCTCGTAGAATGAGGTTCACTGTCCACCAAAGTTTGGCCATCATTGAATCTGTTGTACACACTCTATTACTGTATCTGTATTTCACCCATAGCATCATCCTTCTCCAAAGACTTAATGAATCAAGAATCATTTGAGCTTGGAAATCGCCCAGTTTTTTGCCAAACTTAACGCAGTATCGCTGTTCCACCTGTTCCATCATTTTGTTTAGCACAAAAACATGACAAACACCACGAAGGCACTCATGGTTTCACGTTTGGCAGCCGACAACAAACTGACGCCATGTCAAGGTCACGTGACGTGCTTTACAGTTGCCTCGATCATCTACTCAGTGCCAGGGTGCAGCTCAATGTGGTTGTTGGATTACTAGATAAAAAGTAATGTCGGATACTTTTTGAACAGACCTCGTGCATTTAATTTGCAATTTTTTTATGCGATCTTGGTTAATCTCCACCTTGGTTAATCCACTCGAGGAATCGGGAGTCTACTCTACTTCTGTTACTATGCAAATATGTATCAAATAACCTATCTTAACCTAAGCTAACCAAACCCAAGAACCATCTGAAACAAATGATCATTATTATCGCTCTCTGTTAATGTAGGCCAAGATTATGGAATAGGCATTCACTTACAGTGGCCCTAATCCTGACATAAGTTAATCTGATTGTGTTTTTGAACCCAACTTTCTTTCTTTAATATTAAGCTTATCTTTACTGTATTAGGTACTATTATTTGTCAAAACTGTAACCACATTTGTATTTATCTAGGCAAAAGATGTCATGGGAAAATGTATAGAATTGGCAAAACTCGACTACAATGTTACGGTAAGTAGTTATTTCTATTTTCTCTATAAAAGGCCTAGGCCTACTGTAAAATATTTCATTTTGTTAATCCATTTGTCCCTATTACAACACTTATCAATAAATTCTTGGAGTAAGATTTTTTTCCCAGTAACCTTAAAAACATCTCAAATGTACCCAAAATACAAAAGTGGAGATGTCTCAGAAGCTCCAAGTTATCAGCCGATCTCCTTAACTTAAACTTTTTCAAAAATCCTACTTGAAAGAGTGGTAAAAAGAAACTTAACACCTTCATGACGCAACACTATAATCAATGTGTATATAAACTAAACTTGTAATGTAGGGAATTTGAAAGTGATCGAACCACATACATTTTCATTGTAATTTATTTCAGCAGCAAAAAAGTCAATCTCTACACGTTTCGTTCAGTGTTAAAAGTAGCCTATTAATATGATAATGCATCAACAGTAGTTCATATGAACAACAATAATATAAATAACAATAATATCCATAGCAAAAATATAAAACAGTAGTGATTTCAAATCAACAACAATTAATTATTTAATAAAAATAATATAACAAATGTTATACATGATAAGGGAATCGAGGAAAAAACAAATATACAGTATAGTTTATGAAAATTCAAGAGAATGGGAGATTCGAAGGTAATAGAATTAAAAAGATGATAAATATTAAGAATTTCAATGTATTAGCCTCCGTATTATTTGTGATACAACAAGATAAACAACTAATTAAATCCTCTTTTTCATTACCTGCAGTCAGGTATTTCCTCTAATGGAAGATTTAAGTACGCACAGATGTATAAAGGGTTATTAAAAAAGAATGGTTAAAAAATGGTTAGTACGTCTGTTACAATGATTTCAAATAGGTGATTGTTACACCAATGGAAAGGTTGTGTTTATAAGTTTGTTTTGACAAGGTTATATAATTTGTCTTAGTTGCTTAGTTGAGTACGGTACCCCGAATCCTGCCAACATGGCTACTACAAAACAAGAAAAAGCATTTTATGTTTTAGAATTTGCTCGTACTGATGTTATTATTAGTGTTCAGCGGAACTTTCAGACCAAATTTTTGAAGGAGGTTCTTCATCAGAACTGCATAGCTCGTTGGATGAGGCAATTCAAGACAACTGGATGTTTGTGTGCCGGAAAGAGTCCGGACCATCCTCACACTCCGCCGGACGCTGTGGAGAGAATCGAAGCTAAGTTTGCGCGGAGTCTAAAAACCTCGATAGTCAAAGCTGTTAGGAAACTTCACTTACCGCAGTCTACGATTTTACATAAGCGATTGAGACGAATCCTGTACAAACTGCATTTATTACAAGCAGTTAAGTTTATTGGCAAGCCAAAACACACAGATTATTGCCATGATAGCTTCAATTCTTGTTGATATTCTTCAATTTTGTCAACTGGTTTCGTGGTACTCAACTAAGACAAAACATAACCTTGTCAAAACATAACCTTGTCAAAACAAACTTATAAACACGTCCTTTCTATTGGTGTAACAATAAGCTATTTGAAATCATGGTAACAGACGTACCAACCGTTAAGTTTTGCACCATTCTTTTTCAATAACTCTGTATTTATACACTTTATATTCGTATATGTATTACTATTTCACTCCAGCATACATTATTCATAAAGAACTGATTTTGTTGTAAAAAACTGACGTATCATATGTTTACCGGTGATGTATCACAACTATGTAAATTCTGTGTGACAAAAGCAGCTTACAGTATTTAGTTTTCCAAGTAGCCTTATATATCTTCTCATCCTGTATGTGTTCTTTATCTTTTTTTTGTCTGTATAAGAAGCCATGTGACCTTTTGTACAATTTATGATAATTTTTACAAATATTTTAATTTGTTTATGTTTATTCAGTATAACTAGTGTCCCTGTTGCTCTAATTCGAGCAATTGCTAAGTATTACAGGCGTTATTTTAAAACGAATTTCAACAAAGTCAGCTAATGTTTGTAGCAAACTGTTAAATTAGCAAACTTATTGACTGTTTACAATTAACATGCTCTTCTTCTCACTTATGATTTCTGACAACAGCTGGAGTTTTATAACAATATTTTGTTTCCAATGTTAATCTCATGGAGAAATACGAAACTTTAAAGGGCTCCAGTGCCTCACTCTCTCATTATTTCCCTAAAAAGAAAGTTTCCTGCACATCTTCACGTTACGTTCTTTCCAATGACACCAAAAACATGACAATCGGTTCAGTAGTTTCGGAGGAGTAATTGTCACAAAAAATCTGCTTGCGTATTAAATAAGTATAGATTGTTCAGTTTTACTTTGTATTTTTTCCTAATACACAAATATACAGTATTATTTATGCACATAACTGTTTAAAAGGTAAAATAAAATGGTGTTAATAGAATACTATAATCATAGTTTGAAAGAACCGTTGCCCGATGCCAACTGTGGCTACACTCTTTTTTTCTAGACTATCAAAAATATTAATTTTTGTTTTCCTAAATCTTGTTCAACTACTCTTCCTACTTATGAAAAATATATTATAAAGTACAATACAGTTGAAGCAACAGTTGAGTAATTGTCAAACTAAAAGCCAGTGATAGAATTGTATATTATGTTTAGTTAGGCTAGTTGGTGGACATTCATGGAAAATTAACAATCTCATCAACATAACACAAGATCCAAAAATATTAAAAAACCAGCTAAAAATAGGCTTAAAATCTATCATTTATCTCCTCAGTATATGGGGCCAAACATACTTTTCGAGAAGGCATGTTACTCATTAGAAAAATATCTGGAAGATTTGTAAATTTGATATCACTTCTCCCATAAGTTAGTTTGAATTATTTTATTTGGTTTGATATTGTAGCCTATTGTGTTGATCAATTAGACCTAATTATTGTAGCATAGTCTTTTATAACAAATCTGTCATGAAAATTGATCTAATGTGATGGCAAATAAAAAATAAATCAGTCCACTGAAGTGTATATGATTACACTTGTCATTTAATTATTATCAGATGTATTATTTATAGATACTGGATAATAGCTCTGGTGATCTATGCGCTCACTATCCCAGTCACCTAATATTTATGGAATCGGAAAACAATCCTACTGGAGAGCTAATAAAGAACACTATATATGAAGGTATTGAGCCACAGCGTCTTCGGGAGCTCATCAGTAAATCCAGATCAGCAAGATGTCGTACCAGGTTCCCCATGCCTGTGATCTTCTATCAAGGGAAATACGTCTGCAGGTATACTAAATTTAAAAAAAATGGTTTGTCATGATTAGTAAACAATTCACACTTAGTACCCACTCAACCATGAAATCCTTAAAACACCCCCAACAAACCATAAATTGTGTCAACTGTGAAAAAAGAAAAATCCCTATTATCAAACATTACTGTCATTATCGAACATTATAGTCTTCTGTAACCGCAGCTAAATCCTGGACATTTCATACAGTCGTGGAGACATCACCATGTCTTCTGCGTTCATGGCTACATCGAGAATCTTTGATCCCACAATTTAAGCAAACCCTTTCTGTTATTACGATAATATGAGAATACTAGCTCAGATTGGATCGATTCTCTAACTTGGTACTCGATAAATCAAGCTTTATGTTTGGCTGGACTTGAAAATTGAGCCGCTCGCTCACCTCTAGTATCTTAACTTAGTCATGAATCAGAATTTGAATCACTACACACAGTAACATACAGGGTGAGTTTTAAATGAGTTCCCCCCTACTTTTTTCTACATTTCTTAAGAAATAAACTCCGGACCTTGTCAGATCATTGTAGAGTATTAAGTACTTTATTTTGACTGGGTATAAGTTTTTGACCGCCATATTGGATCCGTCATCTTGGATCCGCCATATTGGATACAACGTTTTTTTTTATGTAAAGGTAGGGTTGTGACCCATTGTTTCAAACTAGATTTTTACGCTGAATACGATGCTGCAATTCGTTAAAAAAAATCTTGATTCATTCTAAAGTTATGATAACTTTTTTCAACTTTATTTTTAGCCCATTTTAACATTGTGCATTTACAAACTAAGGCCATAATCTCAAAATAGTGCTAGATAAAGATAAGTATAAACCACCATTCTTTGTCGACCTATTTTCACTTGGTTGTGGCGGATGTATTTTTTTTTGCCGCCATCTTGGATCCGCCATTTTGAAATGTGATAAATTATTTTAAATATGAAGGTGGTGTTGTGACACATCATTTTGAACTACTTTTATATGCTGAACTCAATGCCGCAATCCGTTTATTGTTATCAAGCTTTCTTGATGAAATATTACAATTATTTTATTTAAAATGTCTATATTTCAAATACCAAATATGAAAATGAAAAACAGATTGCGGTATTAAGTTCAGCATGGCGGATCCAAGATGGTGGTGGAAAAAAATACATCCGTCATAACCAAGTGAAAATAGGTCGACAATGAATGTTGGTGTATACTTATCTTTATCTAGCACTATTTTGAGATCATTGTCTTAGTTTGTAAATGCACAATATTAAGATAGGCTAAAAATAAAGTTATAAAAAGTCCTCAAAACTTTAGAATGGATCAAGATAAAAAAAAATTGTGGCATTGTAATCAGCGTAAAGTTTTAGTTTGAAATGATGGGTCACAACACAACCCTATCTTTACATTTGGAAAAAAAACTTTGTATCCCATATGGTGGATCCAAGATGGCGGCCAAAAATATACACCCAGTCAAAATGAGGTACTTACTACTCTACAATGATCTGACATGGTTCGGAGTTGATGTCTTAAGAAATGTAGAAAAAAGTGTAAGTAAAAAAAAAATGTGTGTGTAAAAGTGTGTGTAGAAAAAGAGGGGGAAACTCATTTAAAACTCACCCTGTATAATTGAAACATTGCTGAAGTGTCCCCACACGGCCACACAGCTGCATTTGTGTTTTCTACGACATGCTGTGATGCCACCATGATTACAGTGTAAGACTTTTGACCCATACCAACATCACAAAATTAACGTAAAAACCTGAAATTTTACTTTCAAGTTTGAGTGGGAACTTTTCACAACTATGTTGTAGATAAAACAATGAAATATACTTGTCGTACCTTATTTAAAGACATATTTTTTGCTCTAAAAGTGTTGTAGCAAAATATTGTATATGCCAACTAGTACGGTGCAATTAGACCTAAAAAAACACACAAAACAAAATAGTGGCTTATTCAAACCGTCTGGTTGGCTGGCACCCTGCTGCGAAAAAACAAATATTTGGTAAAAAGTTCATTTTACCTTCCCATACTTTGCATGTTCAAAAAATGAAAGTACATGATGAAGCTGTTAATTATTATTTTTTTATTTAGGGAATCCTAAGGCTTTATAAATTGTTGCTTCTATTATCCAGGTCAGCAACTCTTTCTGGAGGTCCTGAAATATATGGCAGATCTGGCTTTGATTATTTTTTTGCTGGTGACCAATCAGAGAATAATGATGATGAAGATATAGAGCAACCAAACAACTGCAACAATTGGGTTCTCTGTGATCAAGTGAGGAAGGAAGATATCAAGTTGCTGAGGGCCCTTAACGTCGGAACAATAGTCGACTTCATGGTTGAGAAGAAAAAAGTAAAATTTGGCTTGAAGTATGTACCATATCCTATTTATATTTTTTATATTATAAGTGCATTAATGGCATTTGTAAATATAAGAATATAAACACTTCTAAGGGAAAGTGGTGCAAATGCCATCACCAACTAAACAATTGGCTGCAGCATGGCTTGCAGTATCGATTGTGTCCAATAATTGTCGAGGTTGCCCTTTAAAATATTTAATGTTTTGTTAATATGGACATTGGTGAACAGATTTGACAATGTCAAAAGAGGCCATCCAGTATTGTGAATTCTAATTAATCTCACATAATCTATCGACTAGTTCTATGGTTTTTCTAATGGAGTGGAAGTTCTCTAATGTGATTTCCCTCTGTATAATTTTGTCTTGTGCTTTAGCAATTCTGTTAGTAGTGGAAGGAGTCAAGTTCAGTAATGTATTTGCACAGGTTGTATTTGCCTTATGAATCTAAGGCTGACCACTCAAAACCTGTGTCTGAGGGTTAGTTACTTTTAGTTATCACATTTCATCTGTGGATAATAGGCTGGTACTACACAAAATAATTTTGGTAGAATAGTTTGAAAATAAAATAAGTAGGTTATGGTTCAAGGATTATGTAGGCCTACTGTTATTGTTGGTTAAATTGTGGGCTTTGTTAACATAATCATCTTTGTTTAGAATTACAAGGCAGTTCCCTTTATCAACTTATGAAATAACTGCCTTGTTTTTCGTTAAAATAGCAGTGGACAATAGGTTCTTGTAGGCTATTAATTTGGAGGTCTACTTGTTTCTGGGAAAGGGATTTTTAATTTTGAACATTTTTTAGATGACATGTTTATGCTTTTGGAAATTTTATATATAGGCCTACTCATATTATTACTTACTGTTTGCCTTAGATGTTTTTAAATGATGTTACAGTAATTATTGTCATTTCGTTACAGTGTTACTTCTTCAGAGAAAGTGGACAAAGAAAACAGATATTCCCAGTTCACAATTTTATCCCTTCCATATCCGGGCTGTGAATTTTTCCGAGAGTTCAGAGATCAAAATTACAGTGCTGAAAATCTGTACTATAACTGGAGTCAGACTCACGTGGATGCTGAAATAATAGTTCCTCAGGATAACATCACTGAACGAGTACAAGTCAAGTGGAAGGATTACAAGGTTTGTATCAAAATATCAACTTTCTGAGATGAGTTATTTTTTTATAGGCCTATTGCCTCCTAAACTTTAGATGGTTTTAGTTCACACCGTAGGCGGCACTGAAAGACCTAGACCCAGGACATTTTCATTTTGTTGTCCCCAGGGGCCAACATTACTATTCGTTCAAATGTGTATACATATATATCTAAATATGAGTCCATAAACACAATAACTCAAGTAATTTTGGTCTGATTTTGGTGAAATTTGGAATGAATGTTAAGAGCTGAATAAACTACAATGAGTTTCCGAAACAGCAAGATCGGTTCATGGGAACACTAAAAATTGGGTCATTCCATATGAAATCAACCAATAAAAAATTATTTTCAACCTGACCATCTTAGATTTTTATGAAATTTTGCATACTTGTAGTATTTTGAGTCCTGAATCCAAATATGCTTTTTAAAAAAATCTATCTTTTATAGTTTTTATGATATAAATATTTGAAAATGGTAAAAATTGGCGTTTTTTACCGTGCGCGCAAATCTAAAATGTTGTCTAGGATGAGTTCTATTAATCCTATCAAGTTGTACAATGGCTCATTTTAAAGAGGATTCAAATGCCTTTAATCTGATACCAAACTCAACCTACTTTGGTAAAAATTAATTTTTTTTGAAAATTTCAAAATAGGCCTATGTTTTTGTAAAAAAATTTAAGATAGTGTTTTTTGAAAAATTTGAAAATTACATATATTAAAGAATGTAATCTAGTAAGTACATTATAAAAATTTCAAAATGGGATGATAATGGGATCAGCAGTTATGATAAAAAATACTTGACTATGGTTCACTGTTTCCAAGCATTTCGGCGCATACAGCGTGTAAGTACTAACCTAAATGTATCATTAAATAAGAGTCTATTAATTATATGATTAAAATTAAAAATATCTGCCTATATTTGAATTATGTATGTCATATTTTGCTATATATAAGCTAAATCTAGCAAGTAAACAACATTATTCAAGTTAACAGAGTTTCCGTCAACCTTTGAACAAATATGGACCAATGGGTTTTGGTTCAGGTTCCTCAGTCTTTTCCAGTTAGTTGTGTTGCAACGATTTAGGCCGTCGACACACGGGAAGACTGTTTTCCAACTGAAATCGGCAACCAGTTGGACAAACTAGTCGCCTACGTCCCGACCAATGTAGTTAAGTGGGACAGTGCACACGGTGCGACTGCGATGCGACCAGTTGAGGACCAGTCGGCGATCCGTCGTTAAGCAACCGGACCTGCCGGTTGCTAGGTGATTTCAGTCGCCTGGTTTGAACAACTTTTCGCATATTTGTATTGCGCTTTTCAAGGATCAGGTATACCAACTGCGATAACTCTTCGTAAGCACTTTTGACATCCTGTACATAGACTGAAATTTTGCGTCTGTTTCTTGTAATGCAGCAACAGCTACAAAGAGCCTACATTAAATATTTGTTTTAACATAAGGATGTACCCAACACCTTCTACTCTACGCTTTCTTGATTGTTTATAAAACACTAGGTCTTTTTCATCTCTATTACTCATTTCAAACACCATACACAGTAGGCCTACACAGTATCGTTATAACAAAATTAGAACTCATTCACTGTCTCAACTCAATTATAGTCGCGCCCGTGTGCGGATGTAACCAACGCAACTGCAACCGTAATCGCGTCACAAAACAGTTAGTTCAACTTTAGTTGGGTTTCAGTCTTCCCGTGTGTCGACCGCCTTACTGTAATCAATCTTTTAAGTCTGCCTTTTCACTAGGCTGGAGACTCTAGTCAGCCACTAGATCTGTGCAAAATCACATTGTGAAGCACTTTACGTTTACACTATCAGGTTGCAGCGACCTATCTCGACTGTAGCGACTCGGTCTTGAGACAAGAGGAAAGACTGACAAACATAAGTTAGACCTGTGCACCTGTAAAACAAATTACAACTTCTCAAGACGGGGTCGCTACTGCCGAGGTGGGTCACTGCGACCTGATAGTGTAAACGTAAAGTGCTTCACAATGTGATTTTGCACAGATCTAGTGGCTGACTAGTGTCTCCAGCCTAGTGAAAAGGCAGACTTAAAGATTGATTACAGTAAATCGTTGCAACACAACTGGAAAATACTGAGGAACCTGAGCCAAAACCTATAGGTCCATGTTTGTCTGTCTTTCCTCTGGTGACAAGAGAGAGAGACAAACAAGCATTGATAATTTTGTCACACAATATACTGTCATCAATCTATTTAAATCCTGTAGTAACCTTATTATTGATACATATACATATAATATTCCATGATAGCCTAATTATTTAGTTTTGGGGAAATGTCTGCTCATAAGTACCTATAAATAATGTACCGGTATTCTCACTTTAACAATTAAAATTTTTTTAGTGAAAACTGATTTGTGGATTTAAATACCACAACCCACATACCACATTTCTGTATAACTTCTATTTTGATATGTCAAAAATTAAAAAAAGTTACGGAGAATTTTCAAAATGTCCATCCGGTTATTTTTTAACTTTGCAAGGGTATTTTTTAAATATCATAGCAGTCAAATAAAGGAATTGGATTATGGCTGCTAATAATAACTAAAGCTCAAAACATCTGTTTTCATTAGAAAAATCATTTTAAAAAATAACACTTAAAACTTAAAACCCAAGTATTTTTTTTTTCATGTCCGGGAAATTTTGCTCCAGAACTAAGGGTCGCGACGCCATAAGTAAGGGTCAGCAAATTGGGTAATTTTTTCTTTCTTTTTTTTTAAAGTTATTACTGCTTACAAAGTAATCAAAGCAGGTATTTTCTTAATCCCAGATAAATGGGCTATTCAATTATGGTTTTAAGTCATAAATCATAAACTTACTGGGTTTGCTGTAGACATGGAAGTTTGGACGACTTTTTTTTACTAAAAAATTTCAGTGAAAAATAAGTATTTTTAATTTTTTGCAGAACCATAGTATGCACTATTAAATATTTTTTTAAGTAGAGTATTTATCTGGGAATAGAAAATTATAATAAACATTATCATTTAAAGATAAAATTAATAGGAAAAAAAAATAAAATATGAAAATTGGAAAGTTTGTTCAAAGTAGCCTCCATGTTCAAAGGTTGACGGAAACTCTGTTAACTTGAATAATGTTGTTTATTTGCTAGATTTAGTTTATATTAGAGCAAAATATGACATACATAGTTCAAATATAGGCAGATATTTTTAATTTTAATCATACAGTTAATAGACTCTTATTAAATGATACATTTACGTTAGTACGTACACGCTGTATGCACCAAAACGCTTGGAAACAGTGAACCATAGTCAAGTATTTTTATCATAACTGCTGATCCCATTATCATCCCATTTTGAAATTTTTATAATGTACTTACTAGATTACATTCTTTAACATATGTAATTTTCAAATTTTTCAAA